AACTATTTGTTTGGCTGTACTCTGCGAGACTGAAGTCATTGTTTCATCCGACAGGCAGCTTTGCTTGTTCTCTGTAACAACCTCCCCCCCACTCCTGTCTGCAGCAGGAGCCCTGTGTAATTACATCCAACCCGATCCGCTCTCTCTTACGCTTGATATCACTGCTGTCATCGACTTGCACAGCCCCTCCTCTCTCTCTCCCTCTTTCTCTCTCTCCCTCTTTCTCTCTCTCCCCAGCGAGTGTGCAGTCCAGCCTAGACTTCAGATGTGTGTGTAGTGCAGCCGAGCAAATGGAGAGGATGAGGGTGAGACAGAGGCAGGGATGAGAGAAGGGGATAAAGTACGGTAGACAGCTGAAGAGGGAACTGTTATCCTTAAAAACGGAAAGCAGAGGATGAAGCGTGACGGAAATGAAAAAGGAGGATTTTAAATCAGAAGAGAAACTGTCGGCTGAGTTTGCGAGGTAAGTCAGCAACAAGTATGAATCTGAGGCTTTGCATGTGACAGCACAACAAATAAAAAACAAGTAAACATCCAGACAGTAGGACAGATGTTTTTCCTGTGACGTAATACGGCACTAAATTAAGTAATGGTACACAAGGAGATCTGTAGTTGGGATTGCTGCTTCCTCAGACACTCGGGGGAAGTTATAAATTGTTTGTGTTGAAAAACAATCCTCCTCAATCTCTAGAGGCTCCTCTCTGCTGGATGAAACACTCTTTATCAAATCCACCTGTCACACACAGCAGGGTTTCCTATGAGGGTTGTGGGTCTATCAACTCCACTGAGGCAGGGAGATCTGATCAACAGACCCGACTGATTGATAACAGGTGAGAAGGGTCTGGGTGGGATAGTGCTGTCAAGGTTTCCAGACAGCTCAACGTAGACATGTTTGGTGTTTTTGTGGAACCCAGAGAGAAGGAGACAAACAGATGAAGAATTGACTGATTGGGAGAATGAGGTAATTTAGTCAGGGACTCATCTCTGTGAATCACAAGCTTTTCCTCGCAGGATGTGCCTGCGCAAACGCTCTTCGCCACTTATTTATTAATTCAGAACAAACCCTCTGCAATGAGAACTAGGGCCACTTTACCACTGGGCAAAGTGGTCGCACATTAAGGCCGATTGTAAGTCAATATACAATATACATGTCACTATGAAAGGCTTCCAGTCTCTTTGAGTTATTTGTATGCTAACTTTTGTATTTCTAACAGAATGACATCCACTCGAGAAGAGAACGTTTTTACAGCATTAACAGTAATAGTTAACACAATTAAATGTTGGTGTCTTTATTGCATAGAGGAAATGCTCTTTTGTTTTAAACCAATTCGTCTCAGCATGTGACCAAGACTCACTCCATAACTCAAATGTCAACATGAGATTATATTTGATCAATTCTCAAAATAAGTGATATATTTTCATTTTTAATAATTTGCAACTTCTAAATTCAACTTGCCACAAATAAAGTAACCTAACAAATATTTTTGATTTTTAAATAGGCGCTGGCCACTGACAGGTACGGTAAACACTATTTGTCGTCTGTAGCATACGTTTATTGTAAACTTTATCGCACTCAAAGATTATGTAAATGTATGGATATGCTAATTTACCAAATGGGAAAATAATGGGAGAGAATTTCAATGGTTCCTGAGATTGTGTTTCCATATTTGCATACGGGCCGCCTGAAGTGCAGATGATAATTTGAAGGGTTACGAAGAATTAGACCTGTGTGGTAGAGAGGGATAGTGCATTCAAAACAAAAGCTATGCAAAATCTCATTCAACACAGGATGTGGGCTTATTTTGGTTGGAGGCTTGCACAGAACTAATGGGATGTTGGCCTATACTGACCCTCACCTGTTGCCCATTAATCCCATTACTGTAAAGCATTGCCGTTTCCTAGAACTGTGTATTGTTTGTGTAAGTCTGTGATCATTTAGACTTTATTAGGAATATGAAGTGCGAGTACAATATACATTTAAATAACAGGGCTTCTAAACCTGGACTTTGACACTAAATGGCCACAAAACGAGCTAATAATGTCAGTGGTATTTCGGTTTTGCAGATTGCGCTTTTGCTTTTAATAGGAGTAACAATGTAGGGGCAGTGGTCGCGAAGTCGATAGGGACTTGGCTTGGCAACTGGAAGGTCAACAGTTCAAGTCCCGGCAAGACCAAGTGCTACCGAGGTGTCCCTGAGCAAGGCACCGTTCCCTACACTGCTCCCCGGGCGCTGTTCAAAATGGCAGCCCACTGCTCCTAACACTAGGATGGGTCAAATGCAGAGAAACAATTTCCCCACGGGGATTAATAAAGTATATCAAATCATGTATTATTTTCTGTAGCATGTCTGATAATTGTAGAATTACATGTTTGAAATGATTCATTTCATTCATTGAAATGTAATTTAATGATTATTTACTGGTACAGGATATACATCCCAAAGACCAGACTCTCTAAGGAACTAAACAGAGGTGAAAATTGAAATGTCATACTTTTCCATAAATGGACTTTATGATGCAAAACATCCTTTGCTGACCAGCATTTCTCCAATCTATTAGACCCCGTCTGTGACCTGATGTCTTTTTCAGTTTGGTCACTAATTTCAATTGACAGTAAAGCCTAAAAAATAAGCACTGAAAGGTTTCTGTGACTAGTTTGTCTTTGAACGGTTTCTCATCACCTGTTCAGATCTAGTAAAAGATCCTTGACGCAGCTATCTCTCTCTGCATGTGATGAATTTGTATATTTAAGGTTATATAGAATTTGTTAAATATGTTGTTCTGATGTCCCATATCTGCTTGTGTTCAATAACTACCAAATGTTTGTTCTTCTTTTACAGTTCTTCTTTTGGAATTGGGATCTTGTTATAGTGCAAAGGACAGCAGTCAGCATTTCCAGAAACTGCTGCGGGGCTCATCTGTATGGTGGAGCGGTGGTGTGTCAACTTGAAGAAGCTCAAAAGAAAAACGGAGCCTGGAGGAGTGCACATCAATCTCTTAAGTGAAAGGTACAGACAGACTTTCCTGCTGTTGTCGAATCTAAATATTCAGCAAAACACAATGTGCATCCTGCCAACAGTCCCTTTCTACAGTTACAATCCATAAGGATTTTCCCGCCTCACATTAAGGTATTGAAAAACCTGACGGGAATACAGTAAGTTTACTCCATCTGTGGACATGAGTAATCATAATCGAATGGATTCAAGCTTCTTCAAATAAGTATTAAAAACGTTGTTGATGCTCCGTCTTATTTCATAACAATAAAGATCTAACATCTAAGTTGACCGACACTGCAGTCCAGGCCTTTACGATGGAATCTGAAGACAGCGTGACAGGACTGTCCACAGCTGCGTTGGTGGCCATCGCCTGCAACGCATTAGTTGCCGTCCTCCTACTTCTTCTCTGTCTGATCCTCTACCGAGCCTGCGGGGTCCCCTCCATCCCGGAGAGGCTGCCGGTGCTGGCTCCGATCGAGGGAGGAACCCAGCCGGGGAACGAGCACAAGTACCTGTTGACCTCCTGACTGCAGAGCGAAGAGTCAAATGTAGCAACAAGTGATCGTCTCGGTGCACACCTCCACTGGAGAGAGGACTGAGGGAGCAACGGGACCTGTTAGTGGTTCTTATTCAAATTAGCTTCTGGTCTGAGTGGCTGTGGCTCACAAAAATGGCGAGGATGAATTATGGTGGAGTGAGGAGACACTTCTTTCAACCATCACTTATTAGATCATTTAGCATGGAGGAATGGCGATGCGTTCAACACACAGTTCGACAAAAATCAAAAATTGCATGGCCATAAATATGGATGCTTGATTAAAAAAGGCCAAAATAATGAAATGTTCCTTACACAAAGAGTGAATAGCATGTTGTTTTAGGTTTCTAAATATATCCTCTTATTCTCGAAAAAAAACAAGCACGCCAGTATATTGCTGAGAGCATGGACTTGATCTTGTGTGTGTGTGTGTGTCATTGTCACTCATAAATACGGGCGATCTGTGCGGCATAGTGCCCTGCTGAGGGTGTTACATAAGGACTGGAGAGGCTTAGATGAGATTTGTTTCCTCTTCAACACGGCCCTCACACTGACATCTGCTTGTGGCTGTACGTCATGGCCCACTCACTCTGGACTGAATCACAGGACGGACACTTAAAGGGCTCAATCATGTGGAATTCTACAGATGGCGAACAGAAGCTGTGCACGTTTTCCCACCACACGTTATCAATACTTAAGCATTTCATCACGATCACTGGAGATGCTACTTCAGACTCAACAAGGCATGTTGTAGAGTTAAAAAGATATTGTGTATGTTAAACTTTACCTTCAAGGCTATCAGCTAATACTAGAGTTACACACTGATCCTGCAATTACCTTTGGAATTTGGAAAGCTGGGAATAAAGCAAACCCGAGATGACTGCATTTTAGTAAAGTAGGTTGGAAAACAAAATTCAAGTTAGCTTAAATAGCAATACCAGATTATGACAATGCCTTACTCCAAATCTAAGACGATATCCAGTGTCGTATCACAATATTGATATATTATTGACTTATTGCCAAAGCCTACTTTAAGAGGCGATCCAGGTGAAAGTTCTCACTACCATGCAACACATCTAAAGCAAGCAAGTAGTAAATATGTCTAATAAAGCTTCTGCTGTGTGTGTAGAGAAAGAAAATGTCCAACTTTGCCAGTCATAGTGCCAACATTGCACTGTGACTGACAGCAAGTTACACTGCGTTATTACAAAAACATCCATCGCTGAAATATTTCTACAGGTACACTCTGGGAATACTTCTGTTGTTGCCATGACATTGTGACCTCTGATTCTAACTGCTGGAACCAAATGTCCATTCAACCCAAATATGACAAAACTATCAACAAAACTTAAAATAATACCAAGTTATTTGCCCAAACCTGCATAATGCTTCTTATTACCTCAGTAACAAGGTAACTGGTGCAGCTGGAATTTCATTTGAACCCCAGTGCCAGAGTCATCTGTTACGCATTGTCTTTAAAAATAAGGTGATGGAGCAGCCATCGAAGTAATGAATCACACTTAAGGGAGAGAGTGCTGCATGTGTTCGCAGGAAGATGTGAAGGGCAGAGGATTTCTCTGTAGCAGAGGGGGGGAAGAAAGACAGCACTGTGGCAGCATTTGATTCCAGTTGAGCTTCAGAGCACTGGGTGGTGCTTTACTGAAGGACAAGATCATTAGGACCGAGAGGAATGGAGGAAAAGGCAAAATAAAGATAGAGACAGCCATGACTCAAAGCAAAGTTCTCTCCGTAGATGGGATATCTTCGAGCTGGACCGCTGCCCAGGACGGCGTGTGCCATCCAAGATAGTTTGTCTGGATATGTTCCATAAATGCTTAATCTATTACGCTCATTTATCTCTAACTCGCAGTAACTCACCCCCTCCACTTTTTAGCTTAATTAACTTGTACAATACATACTGAACGTGTTTAATACATCCTGCAGAAGAGGTCAGTCAATGCATTGGAATTCTAACGTTGCCTGTTTGATGTACTGCAGTATGAATAAATGCATTATTAACTGAATATGATGTATTGACAGCTTAAGAGAGATGACATGAAAACGTTTTTAATAAACTCAAACAAATCGATTTTTCTTGAAATGCTGTTTACTGTTGCACACACTGAGCAACTGAACCGTCTTTTTTATGAATGATAAAGAAAGATTGTACCATGTTGCCGTGTTAAACTGTGCTTTGCTCCGGTTCCCTCAGCAGACTGAGGAGCTTCTCCATCTTGGCTTCTTCCATTTCGGAATCCTTAGGCTGATCCTGACCCTTCTTGACCTACACACACACACACACACACAGACAGACAGACAGACAGACAGACAGACAGACAGACAGACAGACAGACAGACAGACAGACAGACAGACAGACAGACAGACAGACAGACAGACAGACAGACAGACAGACAGACAGACAGACAGACAGACAGACAGACAGACAGACAGACAGACAGACAGACAGAGAGACAGACAGAGAGAGAGAGAGAGAGAGAGAGAGAGAGAGAGAGAGACAGACAGACAGACAGACAGACAGACAGACAGACAGACAGACAGACAGACAGACAGACAGACAGACAGACAGACAGACAGACAGACAGACAGACAGACAGACAGACAGACAGACAGACAGACAGACAGACAGACAGACAGACAGACAGACAGACAGACAGACAGACAGACAGACAGACAGACAGACAGACAGACAGACAGACAGACAGACAGACAGAGAAAGAGACATCAGAATGATATTATGCTTACCAAGCAATCACACGCCCAGCAGGCAGGCAGTTAAACAGAGGAGAACACAACACAATCAGGCAGAAATGGAAATGGATGTAAGGTCAATGGCAGCAGAGTGGTTACATTACTCCATTATATAATCATTTCTGTCCACCGCATTGTCAAATGTTCTTTTAAGACATGGTGCTACTGCCTAAAGGGCCCATCAAAGAGATGTTACATTGTGTGGTGTGTTGTGATTATTGGTGCATTACATGCTCCTGTGTGTAGAAAAGCACAGACACATTTAACGGGCTGTTATCAAGGGTCATTTACTTTCGTTACAGGCTTTTTTATTTTAAATTGGACTTAGCTTTCTTGATCTTAATCAGGAACTGTGCACAAGAGGCAACACGCATTACAGCTTGTACCACAGAATTACTACAACTTACTGGATATACTGTACAAATGTAATGGATTTGTCGTAATGCCATGAACAAGAAGGTCGTATTTACGTGACTATAGCATTTGCAGAAGTAAGTTACTTATAATGAGCATGATTAGATATTATTGTTTATGTAAACACAGAAAGGAAATTCTAAGGTAAAGAAAAGTAGAGTGAGGTGCAGAAGCCGAAATCATTCCAAAACTGCATGAAAATAGGCTATAGCACCCAACAGAAAAGTGGATTACCGTTGATGTAAACAGTGAATGTATTGGACTGCCGCTCTCACAAAGACATCCAACAAACAGGCTTTAGAATGATAAAGGAAGCAGTCCACAGTTTATCATCCAACTGGCGGTTTCAATGCCCGGACAAATGGTCAGTCAGATATGACCTGCGTTTATTATTGAGCCTAAAAACTATTGATAGGTAGACTATATAAAGAATGACATCATCAAGATATAGATTTGTGTTTGATTGATTAGTAGGCTATTTCAATTCAAAACAAGCCCTGCCTTGTAGAGTAGTGCTTTAAGCTAAATAATACAAAAGTGTAAGCCGTAAATCTTAACAAGGAATTTGCAAAGTGTACATAACATTTTAAATTAGGCGTGCTGCTGCCGACATGAAATCAAGTGCTGTCACTTGTGCACTTGTAGCATCGATGAGAGGCTGTGGCCTTCAAATACACTTCAAATTGTGCTTTGGGGGAATTATAACGGAAGGGAATGAAATGTGTCGGACTTCAACACATTTCTCCTGTCAGAGTCAGGTATCTAACGGCAAATTGAAACACTGGAGTACTGGGAAATAACTGCTCAGTTCAATGAAGCAGAGCATTTCTGAATATATTTTGGCAATGTACATCCTGTAGTTCATTTCTGTTTTCTGACACAAAGCTCAAAGAAATTCATTAAAACAACTTTTGCGGGGCGCCACAGACACACGATGTCAAGCAGACTGGTCCGGTGAGTGTAAGCAGGGAGGCATGTGGCGCAGTGGATAGTGCGTTGGTGTTCGGATCAGGGGGGCACAGGTTCAAACCCCACTGCAGTCAACATGTCGTTGTGTCCCTGGGCAAGACACTTCACCCCAAATTGCTCCTGTGGGGATTGTCCACAGTATTGAGTATGTAAGTCGCTTTGGATAGAAGAGTCTGACAAGTAACATGTAAGCAAGTGAAGAAGCCTTGTCAGCCTTACAGAATGCCCTTCAAATAAGTGAGCTGTATTGTTACAGTCTGGATTGCCAGGCCAATGTTCTGGGTATATTAAAGGGCCACCATGCCAATTGTGCAAGTTTTAGTGGGCTGCTGTGCCAATTGTATAAGACATAATACTCATAATATTTGCTGTGGGTGTTTGTGCCTGATGCTTATTTGCCACACTGAGTTCCAAAATGCTGTGAGCGCTGTCAGTGGTGCTGAACTGTGCAATTATTTCCCAATTGTACGCTTGAGGGCTACAGTCTGAGGTCGCTAATGAGGTAGCACTGGATGTGTGTGCATGTGTTGCTGTGCTGTACTCATACAAACGGTGTTAATGTGAGTGGTTGAATGAGAAGCGTTTATGCGTGTTGCAGCCAGGCCCGGTAATGCCATGTATAACGCACACAGAATGTGTTGTGGGAATAAATGCACATTTCTCTAGTCATTAGAATTTCGTTTACTTGACATGCACCCATGTGACCAACACAAAGAGAAGCCGGAGAGGCTGCAGAGATGCCTCTAAATGGGCCCTGATTAAAGTGTTGTGACTCAGTGTGCTATTTGGTTTCCCCCTGTGTTTAGTAGGACTGCTGTGATTACTCCGCAGCTCATTAACCACGGTCATGAGTGGCAACAGAGCCTTCGGTGACTCATTGATTGTGAGTGGCTCTACCTGGATTTTTGTTTGACAGTATAGCTACAACTTGCTTTGAATACAAAATGTATTTGAGCTTTCTTTTCTCAAAGATTATCTTCTCCATTATCATCGTATTAATTGGCAGTTTCACAGTATGAGTGAAAGCGAATACAGAAAACCGACAAAGGGGTGACTTGTGAGAAAGATCCATGGCCTGAGCCTACCCTTGCATGTCACTTTGATATGCTCAGCCTCTGAACCCACTGGCAAACATGTTGATTTCCACTCTCATTTGGACAATTGATGTTCTGGCTCTCCTTCCACTGATCATTTCTAACAAGCTTATTCAATTACAAAGAACACCCAACTTCTCTTTGGCTTATTGCTAACTGGCCCAAAGGAGCGAGGGGGAGTAATGAGTTGAGGGGAGGGGGGGCTTCATTCTGTTGTTATTTGGTGAAATTAGCTCGAGGTCAGGACAGTGTCAAGAATGAATCATGTGATCTGCTTTCATTGACGTGGAACAAGTGGGCGGTGGTGGCGAAGTCCACAGGGACTTGGCTTGGCAACTAGAAGGTCACCAGTTCAAGACCAAGGTGCCCCTGAGCAAGGCACCGTTCCCTACACTGCTCTCTGGGCGCCGTTCATAATGGCAGCCCACTGCTCCTAACACTAGGACGGGTCAAATGCAGAGAAACCATTTTGTTACATAGTACCTGTACTGTGTAATGACAATAAAAGTGAAACAAGTGGCAGCCATCAACAATGCAAATGGGCAGATATAAATCAGTTCAGATTGTGTAATGATAAGGTGCTATATAAACTAAAATGTCACAACAAGAGTCGGGCTGGGCAATATATCGATATTATGTCGATATCTTTATATGTGACAAGATATTATTAAGTATTTTCCTGGGTTTCAAGGCTGCATTAAAGTACATTGTAATCTTATGAGTTCACCAGGCTGCTTTAGCGGTTCTATTATTTGTCTTTACCTGCTTAGTCATTAAGTCCAGATTAGAGATGATCTGTTGATCATTTATTCAATTCTCATTGTGTAAATACTTTGCAAGATCATTAAGAGTCGAAAGTACAATATCGTCATGATGTTGATGTATTTAGTTAAAAATATTGTGATATATAATTGTCTTTGTATATCCTTTCCCTCGAGAGCAACACTCACAATGCAGAACACACTTGTGCTGAAATTAGCATAATATTTGGTGTCAAATCTGTAACATAGACAAGCTCCATTTGTATGTGACAATAGAGCATGAATACAAAGAAGGAGCAGAAAGTGGAAGGGTAGGGCAGTTATATACACTATTAGTTTATTCTTCGTCACTTCTAGACAGGCTCTGTATTTCAAAGGGGATCTTACCTTGGGTTTCTTGCGGAGGTTCGGGGAGAGTTTGAGGCTGCTGACGTAGCCTCGGTCATCGCCCACTATGATGATAGGATAGATGGGATTAAACTCGATGTGAGTCAGCTTGGTCTTCTTTTTGGCCACCACTGGCTGCTGGCAGATGGCCTCATATTTGTTGATGCTGAGATCAAAGATATGGACCTGGAAAAGATGAGTAATCAAAAGAATGAATGTGTTGTTTATAAATACAGAACTGTGCTTTGGACAATGTTCAACAAGGAATTCATCCACAGAAAACACACTGGACGCTGCACTAGGTCAGGAACCAGAGGAGACTGTGAAGTCCACCGTAGACGGACCACTTTCGGTCAAAATGTCCTCTCAATTAAAGGCAGCTCATTGTGGAATAGCCTCCCAACTCAGATACGGGATTGTCCTGCTTTGAACAGTTTTAAAGGTCAACTCAAAGAATGGTTGACAAACAAACAAACAAACAAATATCCAATCACCGCTAAATGCACTTTAACACAGGGGTAACTCCTCTTGCACTTTATATGTCGTAGCTGCTACATTGTACGGCATGTGGTAAATGCTTGTATATGCTGCTCATGCTCTTTCTGCATATCATGTATTTATTTTTGCTATGTATATAAATGTCATGTTCTTAAATGTTGTATGTGAGGGACTACGGATGGAAATTAGCTAAAAGCTAATATCCGACATATTTACATTTTGAAGCATTAATTGTTAAAAGTGTTCATCAATGTGGATTGTCCCTCTTCAAATAAACGATTCAATGAAATGAAAGTGAAACTGTGAAATTACATTTTAGGACATTGGCTAACCAGCAGCACTGCATGGAGGTTTAAATAAAATCTTACTGACCACTATATTTAAGCTGGAGGTTGAACTGCTGAAGATTTTGCCAAGAAAGTGAAGGCTAAATCTGTTGACACAGACTGCCTTTCATATTTTGTGTTTGTGTTATCTTTGATGTAAGAAGGAGACTGCTGGAGGCTCTGCAGGGATGCAGCCTGACCATCTGGTGCAAGGAAGGATGTTCCCTGTACTTCAATGAGTGTTCAATTCTGTCCCTTCGTGCGCATATGTGTGTCTGTGCTGGCAGCCCAAACACTAAATCCTCCTCATCATCCTCACATCATTATCCAAAAAGATCCACATCACATGTATTCTTCTCTCACCTTTCATATGGACAATTTTCCGGCAACAACACAGCACATCCCACTCCTTTCACCAGAAAGATGAGTGTGCCCCGGCTGCGAGGGTTCACACTGAATATGTCCCAGCACCACACAAACCTTTGCTGTCATCACTCGCTACCAATCATCATTTTCTACCAGAGCATGACTTCCTGTAACCTCCACCACTTCAGCCATTATCTGCAGTGTTTTTGCTTTTTATATATTAGCACTAATGTAGCATTGGTACACCACAACTACATTTGAAATTCACACAATAACTTAGGATGCATTTTACTGGTGAAATGACTATAATTTAAACACACTAAAGAAATGTAGTAATTGTATTCTTTAAATTGGAGCCTTTAATGTTTAATAAATACTTTAAAAAATGTATTTACTGTGCAATTTTGTATTGTATCAGTATACTGAGCAGCCCAGGCAGAACTGAGTACTACAAATATAATTATATTGTTATTGTGATATTCAAAAACATAATTGCATATTTTCCGTGCATTGTGCAGCCCTAATGATTTATCAAATTGATATTGCATTACATATTGTAACTTCATTTATTTTAACGTATTATATTTGATGAATTATTTAGGCAGATGTTATGACTTTAGGTTGATGTTTTTAAAGTTTCACATCCACAAAATCTAGTATGAACCGATTCAGGTATATTAACTGAATTATGAGGCAGTCCATGTTCAGGGGGTGCACAAAGGGAAAATATGGATTTCAGACTCATCACTGGAGGATAGGCCTGGGCCTTGCCAACCTGACACTTGATTTCCTCAACAGTCAGCTCAGATGGAGAGGCAAGAACAGAGAGAACCAAGAGACATTTGATTTGTTTGCACTGCACAACTCAGTGTCATTCTTACACCTCAGCTTGCCAGGCACGTCATTATTCTTATGAACACACACACACAGACACGTACGTCATTGTGCTTCTGGCATTTTGTAATGTGGCAGAAGCAGGTCAGGTTTTCATCAACCGAAAATACACGTCAATGGGCGCACAGCTCATGAGTCACACAGGCTCTAACAGACACGTGTTAGCAAACGACAAATGAACTGAGAAAAAACCTGCAATCATTGGGAATAATTAGCCGATTACCATGAAGCACTGCTACCACACTGGTGAACGTGAGAATACTCAGAATATTCTTTAATTGTTCTGCAATGCAGTTGTTTTTATAAGATGTGATCCCCACCACATGATGAGTATCGCCTCGCCTTGGACTGAATGTTAAACAGTTATTTAGTGAATACAGATCAGATCTCAAAATGTGACATTACAGTAAACACTAGTATAGCTAATGTCAACAGAAGTCTATTTTGCCAAAGCAAATCCTTGGCTGAAATGATAGTTCAGTGTTGAGTTTAGCACACTGACAAATAATAGACCAGTCACGACGACCTTGATCGACTCCAATTAAATATCCTTGTCCTTCCTGCTGCTTAGATAGAGTGGATAGTGTGCTTGTAAAAATGTATGCCAACTGATGGGCTTTTAATGAGTTTTTTTTAATAGCTGCTGAAAATTGCCTTTGATCCAGTTTCAGAGAATAACTCTGAGATTAAATATGCTTTCTAGCAAAGTCATTTAATTAGATTTTCTTCTGTAGAGGATGTTTACAATCAAACAAACCGCTTGTTATATTCTGGATGCATTGCCAGTTATGTACACTTGTTGACTGTAAAGGGACATTTCATTTGTGGTTATGAATTTGTCTTCAACTTTGACGTTTCCTCTATTGGTTGTGAAATCATTTCCATAAAAATGGGTACACTGCAGTATGAATTCTGCCTACGAGATTGAATTCAGGCATTTGGAAGTACGGAACACACACGCTATCACATAAGGTGTTTCTCAAACTTCCCAGCTCTCATTTAATTTTTGTCCCTCTCACTCCACGTCTCTTGGCACACTGGACAGGAAATGTGTCAGACACAACACTCTGGACTTTTATAGCCCGGTGCAGACTGGTGTGAGGATAAACAGAGGGGGACAGCTTGCAGCCATAGTAAGAAATGATGTGTAAATAAGCAACCCGGCATCCACTGCAATTACTCTTAGCTGGAATCAATAACCTCTTGGAGGGCAGGAAGCAGCTTTTGTCACAAGAAACTAGACAATTTCCTGAGGCTTAGCCTTCTGAATAAGGACGGGTTTAGTCAGCTGGGGCTTTAACTATATTACAGGAATCATAATGAAGTGGGGGGCAGGTGGTGCAGGTGGTGCAGCTGTGATTTCACGTGTTCCGTCAGGTGAGTGTCAAGCTCATGTTTTCTTAGGTACACAGCAGATGTGCGTGGTGATAATCATAGTCTTCAGACAGAGCATCCTATAGGCCCTCTCATAGGTCTGAGGCTGTTTGTACTGTCACCCTATATCACCTGGAGCCATGAAATATCTCAGATGTTATTATATTTTTGATTCATTGTATTGATAAAGTTTATGAGTATTGTGTCTTCACTTCTTAACCTAGCTAAAGGAAAGAAACATTCAAGGTGCACTCTACCAAATCAGTTTTTTATAAATGAAAAACACTTGGATGTCAAATCAGTAATGTGAGATTCTTGTACTTTATAACAACAAATCCAAGCACAAATCATGCTGATTTGGGGTATTCCAAAAACCCAGGCAAAAACGTCTAAATGTTTAAGTTGCAGTGGTGGGCTGCATGATAGTTCAAACAGACACTTACCGTTGCGTCTGTTGTGACAGCGGCGAAAACAGTGGAGGAGTATGGAGACCAGGCAACATCACCAACTGCTGCATTCAGATCAAAGGTGAACATGGGAGTGCTGAAAAACACACAGAGATCGCCGGTCAGGCAGGAAGTCTGTCACTTCTCATTATATCGCATTAAAAGCGAGGCAAAAAGTTTGAATTTGAATAGGCATCAACTTTGGAAACACAGAAGGTCTGACTAGAGTGTGTACATTAACGCTAATGGCACTAGTTGTCAGGAGGTAAATGGTGTTTGATATACGGGTGAATGCAGATGAAGCAGAGCTCAAGAGGCTCTATTGAGTCTACTGTGAGCAAGTCAACATGTAGCAATGTTGAAATATGTTATAAAGAGTTCAAAATGGTGCTTTAACATTGTGTATGAATGAGATTAAATGTTGGGGGTCAAAGACATTCTTCTTGTTTCTCTTTGTCTCTTAACTTTCACTCATTCGGCTGGTCTCAATGGTCCTGGCAATGCAGTGCAACCGGTGTCCCGAATGTGTATTTATCGTGTGTTTTCTTAGTGCCACGCAGTCGTCAAAGAACGTTTTTGAAAGATTTACAATACAGTCATTTCCAGCGCATCGCACTTCAGCTTCAACCAGCGTCCTCTCAATGCCCCCTAAGCAAATGGATGTGCGAGGACTCAGTTATAGCAGTTTTCAGCTTCAATGTTTCATTTACTGTTTCCTTGTAGCTCCATTACACATTTATTTAAGGAGCATTGAAAACTGCTGTCCTTGAGGTTTATACAGAATACTTGTTTTACATAACACATTATACTCTCAAATATTCACACAGGTAGAAAGTATTTGAAAACAGGTGGAGTATTTTCTGTGCAAAACTGAACCTACAATCAGCAACACTTAACACTCTTTCCATTATTTGCCCACAGGCGCGCTCCATTATTGATTTTGCAAGTGCAAGATGAGCCTCAGTCAGATGACAGAGAAACTGTGCTCCATGCAAATATGTCAGTTTGATAAACAACATGCACTCTGGTAGGTGTAAAATATGTCTGAGATCAAAGCAGAATTACTGCACATACTGGAAATCCAATTCATAAGTTATGTCCAAGTTTGACTCCAGGCCGAAGAGAAATGATCAAGCTCCCCTTTTGTGTCATTAAGAGACTCAATGCTTCTATTACTACTTCAGGTTTTTAAGGACTGGCTGATGCCATGTGACAGTTTTCCAGTATAAGTTGTTGGCCTCAGCCGTCAATGACAATATTTCTGAACTGCGTGGCAAAGTCTGTGGAAAGTTGTTGATCCAGTCAGACTCTTTCCTGGAAACAATATGTCCTCTATCTATGGGCTGTAATGGATCATTCTTGAAAACCCTGTCTCTCATAAGGGGAGGATGATTACTATCATTACTCAGTCAAGCTGCCTTTGCTGACAAGAAGTGGGAGGCACTGTGGGTTAGTGAAATGAGGAAAGATAATTAAGCTGGGTCCATGAGAATAAGAAGGTAATAAAGAATAACAAAGTGTAATATTGTAGAATGATTACAGGAATGTTAATGATCTCAGCCTGGATCGTGCATAGACATTTTATAATAATAATAATAATAATGGATTACATTTTTTAATTAGAGCTTTTTCAGGTGCTCAAAGCGCTTTACAATTACATATTACACATGTAAATGTCAATACTGTGGACATTACCCACAGCAAATGCGGGTAGAGTGTCTTGCCCAAGGACACAACGGCCTCACGCAGTGGCGGGTTTCGAACTGGAGTTCACCAACGCCCCTTGATCTGATGATCAACGCTAACCACTGCGCCAAATCCGCCCCATTTTGAACCCAGAACATAAAAAAATCTAATGTCGGAAAACTACTCTAATGGAAATGCCGTTTCATGATGAAAACTGAAAGCTAGATCACACAAAAACAAAATGGAATTGAGTTTATGAGTTGTCTTACTTGATGGTATGTTCCCAGATTTTGACGGTCCAGTCTGAACTGCAGGAGATGAAAACCTTGGGGTGGAAGTGGTTCCACTTCACTGCATCCACTGCCATGCTGTGGGCGTTATATGTCTCCAGGAACTGGCTTGAGTACGTCTTGGAGCACTAGGGAATACAGGAAAAGTCTGGATTTGGACTAAAGTTGATGTTATAAACACATTTTTCTTTCTTAATATTTGACTGTTTACATTACATTTGAATTTGGCTGATGCTTTTATCCAAAGCGACTTGCAATAAGTGCCTTAACCATAGAGATTCAAACTTGGAATTGGAATGTTGTGCTTATTTGTTGTAAATCATTAGGACGGGTGGCGCAGTGGTCTGTGCATCCGATCATCAGATCAAGGGGGAGTGCTGGGGAACTCCAGTTCGAAACCCGCTCCTGCCGCCACTGCGTCAGGCCGTTGTGTCCTTGGGCAAGACACTTCACCCGGATTTGCTCCTGTGGGTATTGTCCACAGTACATGTATAATACCAATGTGTACTTGTAAAAGCGCCTCGATGACCTCGAGGCGTGAAGATGGACGGTGTGGCGCAGTGCGCTGTGCAATGATCATCAGATCAAGGGATGAAACCCGCTGCTGCTGCGTCTGTAAAGCCGGTGTGTCCTTGGGCAAGACACTTCACCTGAACTTGCTCCTGTGGGTATTGTCCACAGTATCTGAGCATGATATATGTGTAATGTGTAAAGCGTTTTGAGTCATTGAAAAAGCGCTATAATAAATGTAAGGAATTATTAATTATTAAATCAAAGCATTATACAGGTATTCAGCAACTGGTTGTATATTTAATAAGCTCTTAACTCACACGCCAAGGCTAAAATTACATTTATTTTTCTGGTAACACTGTTCCTGCTCAGCTTAATGAAATATTGACTGTATCCAAAATGTTTTGGTGTTTATATTATAATATATTTTATAAAATGTTTTGCAAAGATCTGAGAAAAATTGGAGTCTACATCACTCTGACTTAACAGGGGTCCCTGCAGTGCCACATAAAACATTATACAACTATGTTAACAAGCAATGATAAGGACATGAGTTTAACATTTGTGAATGAAGGAAACACTTCAATCATCTTTTTTCTTAAGAATGTTTTATGTATCTGGACACATGACATTTTCCCACTGACACCTAATGGAAAAAGTATTTTGGTTAAATAGTTTATTGTTGTTCAATGTTAAATAACCCTGTACATGTTCACAGTTCCTTTCCTGTTGACATATATATGAATGGGACAAGTAACAAGTTGGACAGCTTGTGGCCACAGCTGGGGCCCTTTAAGCACTGACAGTTTGATTGTTGACCTGCAGGGAGGTGAAATATTCTTTATCTGTCCTCTCCTGGGGTTTCTGTGCGAGTAAACCTTGAGGTGACAGACAGAACATATTTCATAACACACATTTGTCTGCAAGGAGGGTTAGGTAAGTTTAGTGATTTGACGGGAGTGCAGCAAAGAAGGCGTTTGTCACTATACACGATTTAGGATTTTAGCACGGATTAAAACAATGAATTGATTTCTTAAACAAGGTCGGGCTAATCATTTATGATTACTTTATTCAAGATTGTGTGATGGTTTGACGATTCATCCTATCTGTGATGCAATAACAAATATTTTCCTTACAAGATGTATTGGGGAAGTTCCAGTATATTTTAGAGACTTTTAAAGAGGATATTTGAGAATATTTTGGTGTTTATCAGGTTATTATCACAATGATTTTAGCCAGGATAATTACGACATGTATTTTCACATCATCCCATGTTGAGTAGCTAAGATACCTCCATCATAGGAAGTAAACAAATCAGTCTCCTTCATCACTTGTGACCTCTACTTAATCAATTTCTGCAAGGCACCAAGCAATCACACTGCTGTTAAGTGTCTGATCAAAACAATGAGTAAGATAATCGGTTCTCATTGCATTTCAGAGTTTCTAAGCCAGACAATTTAAGGATAATTATTGTCTGAAATTAGAAAAAAGTGGTTTTACTGACAACACAAGACTATTGTCTACTAGATATTTGTAATGGTGCAACACATTGGTGCTTTTATATGATGTACAATGTCATCCATTGCAATGATAGCTCTTTTATATTATGTGATATTGCAGGTCTTTCATCTAGAACAGCGACCCTAAATCTTCTCCAAACATTTTCCCTTGTAATGATGTGTGATGGACTTAAAAGACTCGGACCGTTTTAAAATATCAGCCACCTTCAATAATGTGTGTATTAGTCAGTGGGCAGTTTTAACAATTTTGTGATATTAAGTCAACAAAATGAGGGCACGGTAACCACACACCAATGAGGCTTTTATGAGAGTCTTTCTGTATACGGTAACAAAAACATGAGGAAAAAAAGCAGAGAGGAGGTGGGAGACCAGCCAAAAACGACCAGCTGTCTGATGTGGACAGAGGAGGACTCATTAAACGCTTAATGCCAAGCCTCAGGGGCTCCCAACACCACGCATATAGTAAGTGCATGTGCACATACACACTACTGCACACATACACCAACTGTTAATGGAAACTTTCTCTGAAGTGCTAGCCCAGCAAGATAAGTGCAACACAAACAAAATGAGCTCCGTTTTTCAGAGCAGATACTGGGAGACTGTGAAAGGGCCCAAGATGATCCTTATGTCATTTAGGGAGGGTAAAGAAAGAAAACACATCCAAGGGAAGAGGCTTCGTCGTACAAACTCAGCAGAATTCCTGTGATACATTTTTGATGAAACTTGTCCTAAGCAACTAACTTTTTAAAAGTTGTTTGTATATATACACCTTGTGGTCACTACAGTGTGACCATACGATTTTAGTTTTTTTTATCATGGATTCTAATGTCATTGTGCTAAATAAGATGGCAAATAGTTAGAAGATGTTGCCTTTAAGTTATTTTCTTGTGCATGACTTAGAAGATATGCCTCATACCAGTAGGGTTTTTAGATAGCTGCTATGTATAAGTATTTAGATGGCAGAGAGCAGACCTTTGCTTGGTGAGAGCAGAATTTGAAAGATTCTTAGGGTACATTAGAAGGTACATTATACATACTTAAAGTACATTAGGTCAGGGATAGTGAATGTTATCTCCTGTCTGGAGTTTTTTAAGAACCCTGTTTACTAGTCAACTTCTCACCCTTGAATTGACCCTCAGGGTACGATATTGCTGGTGGGGTTAGAGCTGGTAAGATTGGAGGCAGTGGATGAAATAGTGGTCGTGGACATGAGGTGATGCCCTTGTGAGTCTATGGGAAACTTCTGATAGCCTGTATGACCGAGGTGAGATCAGCAGGCGAGTCCCCATGTCAGCCAATACTTGCTGAGGTGGTCCACAGGAGCCTCAAAGACAGTAGGAGAGGCGTCATAATACCTTAAGCTGGGCCTAACAATAAGTCAACTTACTTTTTACCAACAAGTCCTCCAGACTTTTGGCATATTTAACTGTGTATTACAAATTCCAGACTTGTTTGTCCTCTTTGTCTAGCTCCTTTGTCAGCGGTCATTCAAATGCACTGTGGGTAGCTCCACTGTTGTGATGAATATTAATACAATTGCATCAAGTGTTGCGGCGGCTTATTGTTTATTTGGTTCTGTTTTAAAGCTGTTGAAGCTTTTTTTTTTTTTTTTTTTTTTTTAAATCGGATTGTCATCCAGTAGAAACTAAATCAGTATTACTGTATAATCAACAGTTTCAGGTGGATTTCATCTTTAATACCCTGTTCAAGTAGTGCATTATTACCATGCTACATGGATTAGGAGCACATAGAATTCACACAACTGTCAAAGAACAGGATTATCTAAAGCAAGTTTCAAGTCTCTGCTGAAATGATCTGATATCCATAGCAACCTGATGATAATAATGAAAATGATAAAAAGTAAGAATGAGCCTTTTAAAGTATGTAATAAAGTAAATATTGCAGTACCTTATGTTGTTGTAAAAACGATGTTGCCCTTTTACAGGCTAATGTTTTTGTTACACACATGCAGGGCCGTCCCTCCCTACAGGCCGATCATGCAGACTGCGTGGGGCCTCACCTCGCGGAGGGAGCCTCAACTGAGCCGAACACCTATGCGCTGCAATTAGTGTGGCGCGGCACGGTTTCACCGCTGCAAGACTCCACTAGCTCCCCCCCTCCCCCCCGTTGATGCTCCCGAAACAGAGGTTGTCACGGTGTGTGAAGCAGGTAGGACCCAAATGCAGATTAAAGTGCAAATTCCTTTATTTCAAGGCTAGGTGAACAACAAAGACAAAACAGAACACTCACCGACGAACTAGTCATGACAAAAGACGAACCGACGAAGACAGACAGAAAAACCAGAACTTAAATACACACAAGACTAATCACACAAACAAGACACAGGTGAGGGGGGAGGAGAAAACACAGGGGCCACAGGTGAACACAACGTATCACTAGGCCACCAGGGTGGGTGGAGGGGGTCAGGAGGACGGGACTGAGCTGACCGCCCAGGAGCACAGCAGAGGACCAGGAAGGGATCTCGGGCGGCCAGCCCGGGGGCAAGGCAGAGTTCAAGGAGGGGTTCTCGGGCGGACGGCCCGGGGGCAAGGCAGAGTTCAAAAAGGGGGATTCGGGCGGACGGCCCGGGGGCAAGGCAGAGTCTAAGGTGGGGGACTCGGGCGGCCGAGCATGAGGGCGAAGGCAGCGGCAGGAAGAGTCAGGGGGCCGGGCTCGAGGACGAGGGCAGCGGCAGGAAGAGTCAGGGGGGCCGGGATCGCGGGCGAAGACCACGGCTCACAGAGGGCCGGGATCGAGGGCGAAGACCGCGGCTCTCAGGGGGCCGGGCTCGAGGGCGAAGACCGCGGCTCTCAGGGGGCCGGGATCGAGGGCGAAGACCGCGGCTCTCAGGGGGCCGGGATCGAGGGCGAAGACCGCGGCTCTCAGGGGCCCGGGCTCGAGGGCGAAGACCAGAGAGCTCCGGAGGCCGGGCAGGAAGGCGCTGACGGGACAGTGCCGGAGACCGGGCAGGACCCGGTGTCGGAGCTGGTGGGACAGGCCTCTGCAGGATCCCCCACGGAAGAGGACCAGGACACGGGATTTGCAGGACCCCCGGCAGGAGAGCAGTCGGCGGGGCCTCCAACGGCACAGGACATAGGATTGGCAGGACCCCCGGCAGGAGAGTAGACGGCGGGACCTCCAACGAGACAGGACAAAGGGTTGGCAGGACCCCCGGCAGGAGAGTAGTCGGCGGGGCCTCCAACAGCACAGGACAAAGGGTTGGCAGGACCCCCGGCAGGAGAGTAGTCGGCGGGGCCTCCAACGGCACAGGACAAAGGGTTGGCAGGACCCCCGGCAGGAGAGTAGTCGGCGGGACCTCCAACGAGACAGGACAAGGAGCTGGCAGGACCCCCGGCAGGAGAGTAGACGGCGGGACCTCCAAGGGGACAGGACAAAGGGTTGGCAGGACCCCCGGCAGGAGAGTAGTCGGCGGGACCTCCAACGAGACAGGACAAGGAGCTGGCAGGACCCCCGGCAGGAGAGTAGACGGCGGGACCTCCAACGGGACAGACATACGATTGGTGGGACCCTCGGCAGAGGAGTAGTCGACGGGGCCTCCAACGGGACAGGACATGGAGTTGGCAGGACCCCCAGCGGAACCTCCAACGTACCAGGACATTGGGTAGGGACTTGAGACGTGACTCGAGAGGAGATTCGAGAGGAGACTTGAGAGGGGAACCAAGGGGGAACTCGAGAGGGGAACTAGAGAGGGGACTCGAGAGGGGACTAGAGGAGAGACTAGAGGAGGGACTAAAGGAGGGACTAGAGAAGGGAACTCGAGAGGGGACTCGCGAGGGGAACTAGAGGAGGGACTAAAGGAGGGAACTCGAGAGGGAACTCGAGAGGGGACTCGGGTAGGAACTTGAGAGGTGACTAGAGAGGGGACCTGAGAGGGAACTGGAGAGGGAACTGGAGAGGAGACTCGAGAAGGGACTTGAGAGGGGACTCGAGAGGGGACTGGAGAGGGGACTGGAGAGGGGACTGGAGAGGGGACTCGAGAGGGGACTCGGGTACGAACTGGAGAGGGGACTCGGGTAGGAACTGGAGAGGGGGCTCGGGTAGGAACTGGAGAGGGGACTCGGGTAGGAACTTGAGAGGGAACTCGAGAGGGGACTCGGGTAGGAACTTGAGAGGTGACTAGAGAGGGGACTCGAGAAGGGACTCGAGAGGGGACCTGAGAGGGAACTGGAGAGGAGACTTGAGAGGAGACTCGAGAAGGGACTCGAGAGGGGACTGGAGAGGGGACTCGAGAGGGGACTCGAGAGGGGACTCGAGAGGGGACTCGGGTAGGAACTGGAGAGGGGACTCGGGTAGGAACTGGAGAGGGGACTCGGGTAGGAACTGGAAAGGGGACTCGGGTAGGAACTTGAGAGGGGACTCGGGTCGGTCGGTACACCGACAGGACACGGGGAGCTGGCGTCGTCTGGGGAGCCAGCAGGAGACGAGGTGCTGGAGTCGGCCGGTACGCCGACAAGACTCGGGGAGCTGGCATCGGCTGGGGAGCCAGCAGGAGACGAGGTGCTGGAGTCGGCCGGTACGCCGACAAGACTCGGGGAGCTGGTGTTGGCTGGAGAGCCAACAGGAGACGAGGTGCTGGAGTCGGCCGGTACGCCGACAAGACTCGGGGAGCTGGCGTCAGCTGGGGAGCCAGCAGGAGACGAGGTGCTGGAGTCGGGACCATGACTGTATGGGCCAGCTCTGGTGCAGGGACCACGGTTGTAAGATCCAGTTCTGGAGCCGGAAACATGGCTGTAAGGTCCGGAGCTGAAGCCTGGATCATGGCTGTGTGGGCCGGTTTTGGAGCCGGAAACATGGCTGCTGGGGCCGGCACTGGAGCCGGAACCATGGCTGCTGGGCAAGGAACCGGAACACGGATCCATGGCTGTGTGGGGGGGTACTGGAGCACGGTACTATGGCTATGTGGGATGGTACTGGAGCACGGAACCATGGCTGCTGGGTCCGGCACTGGAGCCGGAACTGGCGCTGGAACCCTGGCCTTTCGTCTTTTAGGAGTCTTTTGGAGGCTTCGTGGACCTCCAAACGCCAGACCAGACCCCAGGAAAGGGTCAGAACATGAAGCCTGGTACTCAGGGCTACGTGAGAAAACCCTAAGCCACTCGGGCAACAAGCTCCAGAGCCAGGGCTTGCGAGCAACCTCCTGACGTGCCTCCTTCAACGCAGCCTCTCTACCCCGTCTAGATGAGGCGCCTTTCCATGTATAAAAAATGTACTCCAGAGAGTATCCAAGACTTTCTGCCTGTCGCATCAAAAGGGCTGAGTCTGCTGGGTCCATAATGTGGTCGGTTCGTACTGTCACGGTGTGTGAAGCAGGTAGGACCCAAATGCAGATTAAAGTGCAAATTCCTTTATTTCAAGGCTAGGTGAACAACAAAGACAAAACAGAACACTCACCGACGAACTAGTCATGACAAAAGACGAACCGACAAAGACAGACAGAAAAACCAGAACTTAAATACACACAAGACTAATCACACAAACAAGACACAGGTGAGGAGGGAGGAGAAAACACAGGTGAACACAATCGGGTAATCAGACACACCAGGGAAACTAACGACAGGGAACCACAGACAAATCCAAACAAGACACAACGCAGACAGAAACAGGCAAGACAGGAGGTGAAGACCTTTCAAAATAAAACATGAAACAAGACAAGACAAAACACTATAAAGACAGATCGTGACAGAGGTTCTCATCATATAGTTTTGCGTGGGGCCTCATGTTGGCCAGGGACGGCCCTGCACACATGTACTGTATATGTGTATGTTGTCATGCCTACAGGTTATGACTGGCATGTAATTTATAGTGTATTATAAGATTGTTCTGTATCGTCAGTACTGTGGTCAATGTGAAGCGTCTTGTTATTATATCAGGAGTCATGTTGTGATTCTCTCTCCCCCCCTGGATATTAGACTGTCTAAATGAGTCACATCAACAACTGCCTAATCTTATTTTGGAAGTGGCTCATGTCATCCAGCAAAAACCAGCTAACTGGAATCGTACATACCTTGTGTATTTTTCCCTCCTCGGTGCCAACAAGGAAGAGATAGTCGATCTGCTTATGGAAGTCAAACGAGGTACCACAGGCTGTGGACAAGAGGCGTCAGCACTTCAATTAGACACACACTGTTACAACACCAGTATGAAAGACTGAGTCAAATCTGATCTGATATCATTTAACGTGTAGTACTTTTAGTAGTCAAATAAGTTGTATTATAAATGTGATGTTCTTAGATCCATGCACAAGATGACATGCTGAGTAACGGAGACCTTACCGATGCCAGGCTGCTGTTCCGGGCCCTCGGAGACCGCAGCATTCAGTGACAGCCTGATAATATCTGTAAAGACCAGCTCATTCTGCAAGAATACAAACATACTGTGATGAAGTAATATGTATGGATTCATATATTGGAGGCAAAATAATATTACAATTATGCACACACGCAAATACAAAAATAATTAATTGCAAATGTGAACAAACACACAGGAACACATATAAAGAGTGCATCTCAAAAGTTTCATTATATTGGCATTTTGGTGAGACAACATGGAATAAGATAAATGGACCCTTAAAGGTCCCATGTCATGGCCATTTCTACTGATCATAATTCCATTGTTGAGGTCTACTAGAATAGATTTACATTGTTCAATGTTCCAAACTCACATTGGTTTCTCATACAGCATCTCTGTATAGCATGTGTATTCACTCTGTCCTAAACGGCTTGTTGGAGCTCCTGACCCCCCTCCATATGAGCCCACTGTGCTCTGATGAGTCCACCACTGTTACAGCTGGACATCAGTGATTATGCGTTACAATGGCGTTTGTTAGCAACCAGGAAATGACACCAGCAATGACAAACAGATGAGAATGCTGCGTGGGGGGTGCCGTGTTGGCGGGACGTTGCGGGGCTCGCTGCTCCGCCCTTTGAGGCTCGAGGAGCGGACAGTGTGAGGTGGATTACTGGTGTCGTTTCCTGGTTGCTGCGTGGGGTCTGCGTTCCATGCCAGCGGACACGAGCTCTGCGGTGTCTCACCGGCACGGCACTTGGTCTATATCCAACAACCAGGGAAACACAGCGGGAAATCCACCTCACACTGTCCGCTCCGGGAGCCTCGCGGGGTGGACTCCTGAGCTGCTCGGGAGTCCACCCTGGCAGAGGGTGTGCCTATTGTTCTATAACTGTGTGCCAATTGGTCCATTTGGACTTAGATGGGCTTTTTTATTTTTTTTAGATGGGCTTTTTTTTCAGATGGGATTTTGGACTTCAATAGGTCCGGAAGAAAAAAATGGAAAAAGAGAAATCTCCAACGAGGCGTTCTGGGGGAGTCTTTTCTGTGTTAAAGTTTTACTCGCTACAGGGTGTACTTTGAGGGTATGTGACTTTGCAGACCGTTTACATGCAGAAAAAGCTACATAACACACCGGAAAAGCATGACATGGGACCTTTAATACTATCACATAATGAAAAATGTTATAGTGAGAATATATATGAATAAATACAAGGTTGTGGCTAACCTTGACTAGAGTCCAGGACACAACTCGTCCATCAGATGACACTGAACAGAAATTGTGGTTATTGTCCATGTCATCGCTCTGCCAGCGCACCTGAATGAAAAAACAAATAAATACATCACTGAAAACAAAAACAATTGTTGGTTTTAGTGTAAGTGAAAGAGGTTCATGTGGATAAGAAAATGTATTTGCCATCATATGAAATTCTCTGTTAGTGTTATGACGTTAGTGATATTTTATTCAAATTCCTCTACAAACTAACTGGTCAAGAATAGGTTTTAAAACGTCCACGTAGATGCACAAATGGAGACAAAGTAATAGAGCAAGGGTGGAAGTCCTGATAATAAATATATACAAACTGAATTCCTATCGCCTCTCCCTTGTCCCCTCCCCTCACCTGCCATACGGGGTCTGTGTGCTTGCCAGTCTTAGCTGTACTCTTATACATAGGCTCCGATCCATCCTCCTTGTTGTTGTAGACAGCCACACAGCCGTCATAGAAGCCAACGGCCACCAGGTAGGAATGCTGCTCATGGATGTCGAGGCAGAGGACGCCAGAAGGGGTGGGATAGATGAACTCTGGGTAGGCAGAGTTCTTCAAGGAGTAGTAGACTAGCATGCCACGCCCCTGCTTACTGAAGTCGTCTGATCAGCAGAGGAAAAGAGGAGAAGGGACCGGAGGAAAGACCAGGTCAAACACCAAATATGCATGATAAAATGGAGGCAATTCAATTCAGGTCAAATGAGAATTAGTCTCAGAAATGTTAACATTACTGCTCACTCATCAATTCTTATTTTTATCATGCGTACTTACACGATCCCATTCCCACAGCAAAAAGGTCCTGATATTTCTTATTCCTGTTGAAGAAATATCAGTCATCTAACACTAGATAGTGGGGCAGTTGCAGCTACTCATTCCACCCCAAACAATTATAAACATCATTCACATGAACATTAGCAGCAGAGGTGATGAGCAAACCTACCAGCAGAGGGCAGTGACAGACAGTCTCTTAGCTTTGTCATATTGAAACTTCCACAGAGGGAGAAGGGTGCCCTCCTGGTCCCTGAACTCATCAGAAGCGTCCTCAAAGTATTTGAAATCTGAAAGGGCATGAAAGGAGGGCAGGAAGAAAAGAAAAGGAGATAACAGAATCTGCAGCAAGCTGAAAATCAAGTGGGATGCTGGTGTATTATTCTGTCGCTTGTAATGTTTATTAGAACATACCTTGAGCTATGTCATCAAAAGTGTTCTGATTGACCATTCGTTCAAAGATCTTGGACGCCTTTCCCACTTTGGTGATGTCATCAGTCTATAACAGAAACACTGCAAATAAATACTTTACCTTAATAAATAATCATAGACTTATATGAAATGATGAATATGATGGTTCAGAGTCCTGGTTAGTCATAGCTTTGAGGTTTAGACTCTATGATTAGTTAAACATTAACAATGTATTTTAAGGCAATTTATGTATGATTTGCATGGCAACAACATTAACCCTTGTGCTTCAGTTGAAAAGAGTTGTTTTGATGTCCTTTGAATATTATTTGACACTATATCTTATACTGAATTAAAACCTTTAAACAACTTCAACCCAGCATGGTCTCAATGCCACATATTCAATAATGTTCAGACTGCTAACTCTTTACAAGCACATTTGATTATATTAAGTTACTTATGCTTTTTTTGAAAGAAAACAAACAAACAAAATGAATTAATTTCTAAATATAAAATGTAAGAAGGATTCTTTTTTGTCAAATTCCTGTACATGTCAAAGATTACAAACAACATTGATATCGATTCTTGATGATTTTTTTTTGTTCACGAAACCCAGAACATAGCATGTTTTTGCATATGGCTCAATCTGGCAAATAGTAACGGTTTATTCAGATGTACTTAAGCTAAGATGCAAATATAAGACACAGATTTAGCTTAGGCAGGATGTTTGGTAAGCACAATGTACCTGAGTCTCCATCAGCAGCGTCTTCTTTTTGCCTTTGTCATTATCTTTCTTTGATGCTACAGCCTTCTGCTTCTCTTTATTGGTTTCTTGTTTCTGCAGCTCCTCCACATACGCATCATAGATGTCCCACTGCAAGAGAATAGGGTTATTGCAGTCATCCCATGTGAGCAGATATACAGTATTCACAGATGCTCTAGACTAGAGTATGAGAACTGGGCTCAACAGCTATATTACTAAAAAGTGAAGAGATCCAGTACCTGAGTAGCTGTGGCGGTGAAGGTGCCGCGTGGAGGAGGATCAGTCTGGCAGCTTCTTTCCTACAGGAACATTTCAATGACTCCACGGAAACTCTTGAGGCAGTCGGTTATGAATATTTTGTAGTGCACACATCAATATTAGTTTTTGGTTACATTCCAATATTGTAAATGAGCTTTTTTTTTTTATGTAAGACATCTTAACTATTATACTTAATATGTGTTTTGAGATAAGGCATTAGATGCTCCTCTCTACTCCTTCCTACCCGCAGTGGGTTGTTGAGGGTCTGGGAGGCCCTCTCACTGAAGTTGAACTGGTTAGTAACTTTTGGCTCCTTCCTGTCGGTTTTAGAGGCGACACTGTCTGGTCTGTCCTCTTCTCCTGCTTCCTCCACTTCCCGTCCATCCTCTACGGGTGTATCCTGTGGAAATAAACAGGAGAAAGTGTTGAAGCTCAAGTTATACCGTTCACTTAATGGCCTTGCATCGAAATGTAGTTAAAAAGACCATGTCATACATTGTTTAAAACTGAATATACTGTCCAACAAAAACCACTACTAAGATTTTATCTCAACACATTTTGTTACCGATGTTTCTGGTTCCTCCTCATCAGGTTCCACTCCAGTATCGACTGTTGCAGTTTCTGGACACATTGAAAATATGAAAGCATAACTTCACTGTGTGGAAATTGAACACATCACTTGTTCTGTGTTAACCCTAAGCACGTCTTCATTTCTCCGGCACATGTTGAAAGTGACACCTTGTGGCACCTATAATGCACTACAACAGAGAGGAAAACAACTAAACGAGCTATACAATCACTCTGAAGCAATGTGGGCAGGTGTTGTGGAAGATAATCATGTACAAGCCTTGAATATCTAAAACAAAAGTGTTACTGTGATCTGTAAACATAGAAGAGTATTGCAGCATGTTTCAGTAACTACCCTCAGGGAGACCCTCCTTGGCCCTCAGTCTACGAGCCTCATCAGAGTCTTCATGCAAAAGGCTGCCCTCCAAAACAAAGTGAACAGCCATCTGATCCACAGCACTGGTAGGCTTGTAGGAACGTTCCTGGGAGGCACAATATTACATGTTACGAATATTAAGCAGAGACACCCGTTTTATTTTGGTTGGAAAAGAAGAAAATAAACCACTTGAACATTATCAAACACCTTTGAAACAAAACAACCCAGGGACATTGGTTTGGACAGCCATCTTTTAAATGTGAATAGCTCAAAGGGGAGCAATAATGTCTGCATTTCTCAGAAATGAATATGAGGTGGCTTCTGAATAGCAGTGTTGCATCTATAGTGAGTGATGTAAAGTAATAAGCCTGTATATAACTTTATTACCTTAAAGCTGTAGCGCACAATATTTTGGGGGGCATGTGGGTTGTTTGCAGTCAGGATCCTTGTGATTTCCTCTTTCAGCTCCTAAAGATATCATTATCGATAAAGGAGAGAACACAATGCACAAGTTACACACAACAGACTTATTTCCGAAAGGTTTTAACTGCAAATATAAGAACCAAAAAAAGGATGTTGTAAACAACTGAATTAAGCAATAGCAGTAAAGTCAGTGCCAATTCCCTCAACACAGCCAATATTGCTTTCCTAAAGTTGAGCAATGGAGATCTCTTACAGCCTCAGAGAGCTCCAGTTGATTGGGGGGCTTAATAAGAGCTTTCCCTTGGGCCCACTCGTCCCATCCTTCGCCCGGATCCTCGTCCTCATCCTGTAGTGTGACATGCAAAATATATTTAAGTCTTGATTAATTAAAAATTGCTTTAGGTTGCAATAGCACATTTCTCATATGTATTCCCACTGCAGCAAAAATGCCTAATTCAGAACCGTCACTTTCTGGAGATTGCTCAGTATGAAATGCACCAACCTTTTTCTTGCTTGCTGCTTTGGTTAACTTAGCACCAGGTAAAAGTACCTTCTGAACCGTTGACCCCTGTGTGAAAACAAATAAAAACCAGCAAACTTAACAAATGGTTAGTTGTGACATTAGAACAATTGAAAACACGTTAGGTAAACAACAAGTTCCTGTAACTGTACTTTGTATACTTTATTTTAGTTGCTGTTACGTAGCATTATCACGTCGCCAAGTTAGCTAGCGTTAATATAAGTTAGCTAGCGTTACTAACTAGCTAGCTAAAAAAAGTTGCACTTACCTTTCTCATTGATGCGGCAACGTTATTTGGCATTTAAAAAAAGAAACCAGTTTACTGACTTGACAAACGATTCAGCTGTTAAGCTTTGACAAAACACAGCACTACTACACAAAGTAAAAAATAATCTTCTAAATAGGTAACGTCAGTTAGCTAAAAGAAACAGCACACTCGCTCCTCTACAGCTACCTGCTGCTGCTGTATGCATGTTTCCAAGGCAACCTGCCGCCCCTGTCAGTCATTACAGAGGGCTAATAAAGACAAGAAAACTCCATCCGTATTTTCAGTTGTTATCAGTGGTGGAATGTAAGGAAGTACATTTACTCAAGTACCGTACTTAATGTAGCCTACTTAAGTAAAACATCGATGTACTTGTACTTTACTTGAATATTTACTATTTACACATTATGCTACATCCAAATTCACTCCACTACATTTTGGAGGCAAATGTTCTACTTTTTACTCCACTACATTTTTTTAAAACAGATGAAACACTTACTACTTTAAGGTTTAAGATTATTAATATAAATGAACTAATACAATGGTTATTATAGGTTAAGCTACCCAATAGCATACAAATACATCGAAAATAAACCCCATAAGTGCAACAAGTGATGTAGCAATAATTATAATACAAATATATGGTGCTTAAATGGGCCATTCTGCAAAATGGTACTTAAAGCATGGGCGTTGTTAGAAAAAGTGGTGGGGACATTTTCTCCGGATTTAACATCAGCATAGTAGAAGACAAATTATTTTCCTCCCCTGGGTGTTGAACCTTAGGCACCTCAAGGGTCAAGGTTCAAGGTTCTTTATTTGTCATACGAACATAGCTACAGAGTAGTTATGTCGATGAAAATCTTAGGTCACAGGCTTCTCCAACAGTGCAACCCAATAATACAGAAAAACAGAAAAATATAGTGCAAGTAAATATTAAAAAGTAAATTAAAAATAAAAATTGTCTAAAAAAAGTGAAATAAGAGTCTAGTATGCAAGCTATTGGAATGATATATTAGATACATAGATACATAATTACTAAGTAGCAGATGAATGTTATGGATGTTGTTTCAACAGTTTAACAGCCACTGCCTGTGGGATGAAACTGTCTCTGAATCTGGTGGTTTTTGTCCGGATGCTGCGGTAACGTCTGCCAGACGGCAGCAGACTGAACAGTTTGTGGCTGGGGTGATTGGGGTATTTTATAATCCGGAGGGATTTCTTCCTAAGCCGCTGGGAGTAAAGGTCCTCCATGGATGGCAGCTCCGTCCTGATGATGTTCTGTGCAGTTTTCACCACCCTCTGTAAAGCCTTACGATTAAGGGCGGTGCAGCTGCCGTACCAGGCCGTGATGCAGTGACCTGCATGATAGACCAATGCATAGACCTCTGAACCACCAATGTGTTCTTAAAACAACAAACGCTCAACTAAACGTCTGGCTGTGATGTGATTTTGAGTGAATTTGTACCTTTATGCCCATAACGAGCACACAGCTGGAGGACAGAACATGACATGAGTAAAAAGTCAACAAGAGTAGAGTCAACAAGAGTACAGAGTACTTTTTGTGCACACAAATTAGAGGGGGACAGCAAACACCTGTGTGATTTTGGTGACAATACGACTATCCTGGACAAAGTTATAGTGGGGGTGCCAAATCCGGCAGCCCCAACGCCTGGTCTGCCACATGTGGAAGCCCCTCTTTAGTTTTTCACCTGCTGAGCCCAGAGTCAAATGTTTTTTTTCTGTGCACAAACTAGAGGGGGACAGCAAACATCAGTGTGATTTTGGTGACAGTACGACCACCCTGGACAAAGTTATAGTGAGGGTGTCAAATCCGGCAGCACCAACGCCTGTGCTGGAAGTGTAAAACAGAAGTTGGGACTTTCCTACATTGTATATATAGGAATCTGCATTGATTAGACCTTTTTGGGTTAAAGTAGTAGAAGTCCTGTGTAGCTGGTCTGGCTCAGTCATCCCCATGACTCCTGTTTTGTGTCTGTTGGGGGACAGATCTCAGATGCCACATGTTTCGAAAAGAGCTTTCTCTGTTATAATGGTTGCTTTTATTAGAGCTTCAAAAATTATATTGAGGCATTGGAGAATAGACAAGCCTCCGCATATGAAGGAATGGGTTAATGCTATGGCGGAGACATCATCCTATGAGGCTATGCTCACTAGGATGAAAGGCATTGAAAATGCTGAGGACAATCCTTGGGAGCGTTTCTGGATACACATAAAGGCCGACAGAGACTCTATTTAATTTGAATGTTTACCAAGAATTGCACACTTTTTCTTTTCCATTGCTGAAATACCTAATTTTCTATTTTGTGATTTTTTTCATGCCATGTCTTTTAATGTCAATGCCTGGACCACGGGGGAGAAGGATTTGTTTATGCAGTGTACTGCCAATGTGTGTTTGTTCTGAATGGAAAATTCAATACAAATTTGAAATACAAAAAGAAAGAAACATACACAAAGGTACAGGACTTTTTATGTTTTAATTTTCTTTATTATCTTTGAGTTTTAATGTTTTGATAAGATGGCATGTCCTTGCCAGCCTAAAGGGGAAACCCCCCACCTCCAAGGGGCACAAAAAAAGTAATGGTTCGAGTCACTTCGAATCAATCCCAATGCCCTATAGCTCAGTGGTCAGAGTACACAGTCCATATCCAGATCAATGTGAGACGTGGGGTTGAATCCCCAGCCTGATAGAACATTTTGGGCTGTATATTTACAAAAAACACATTTAAAAAAAGAAAAGTTGCTTAAAGAAAATTCAATAAATTAAGCAAATGCAATACAAAAAAATCCTAGATGCAAAAGCCTTTATACCTTAAACAGATGTTATTAATGTAGTAAAACTACATGGGGTAGTGTTACTGTTTGAAGGGATTTTGGTAGAACTTGACTTTATGAGAGGGATGTTATTTAATATTGCATTGTCTGCTTACTATGACAGACACCAATTGAAATGGAGCTACACGGACTTGATGCTACAAGATGTAATGGTTTTAAAATTGTAAACACATTAATGGAAAATTAGAAAAGTTGGTGAATGTATTTATTATAAATAAAAATGACACAATGACAATATTTCTTACATCTTCATAATTATCGTCTCTGATTGAATAGACTTTTAAAAAAAAAAAACCTGTTCCTATTGGTCAGATGCAGTCAGCTATCAGGGGACAGATCATGCTGTTTTGACAGGAAGAAATGTCCAAACTTCTCCTACTGTCGTATAAATCTATTTTTTGAGGCGTGTTACTGGATATGTTTTCAGTGATTTCCTTACTATTTGCTATCAACAACACCTATGTTTTACAAACAATATTTTCTATTAAAAGTTTACTAACATGTCCACATTTCACATCTTGACACTAAACCAGTGTTCTTGTTTATTAGCCTACATTTCTTTGTGCACGCTATTTTTCAGAACATGTATAAATTATACTTTTACAAAATTGGCCATTTCAAAAAGTCCCCAGCGTCCCCATCGCAAATGACGCCTATAGCCGCTTTCACACCGCAGGACTTGCCGTACTTTAGTGCCGGCACTAAAGTACCACGGCACTGAATCCGCCATGGGCTAGTGCCAATCGCATTCACACCGCAGGACTTTCCCTGAGGCAAGATTACGCTGACGTCACTTCGTCTTCTCTGGGTTTACTGGCAGGCCGCAAAACCACTTCACGGCAGGTACAAAAAAAACGAGAGAAGAAGAACTACACGGGGGAGGGGGTGTATAAAGCCCACCCGCTGTATGAGGCGTTTGTTTACTTTCCGACCTCAGACATGATGGAGTTCATAAGGGTAATTTACAAATAAAATACCCCATTATAACAATGGACTTTATCTTTATGTATTTATTATATATTACCCCCTCAGGCTGATTTTGGAAAAGGACATTAACCCTTGTTTGGTGTTTTTCCCTTATTTATCTAAAACAAATGACATGATAAATTACTTGTGTTTATGTGTGTAAGACTTGTGTTTCTGCCCCTGCCATTGCTGCACAAGGTTGCAACATTGTAGATAAATTCAACCACCGACACCTGTCTGCTCTCACATTCTTCTATTTTGCAAATTTGGGGTGGGACACAATAACTAAAGCTTCGCCAGTTTGTTTGTTTTATTGCACAGTCAAGACATAACAATAACGGCATCACGCTGTTCCAGGTGTGTAAATTGACGTAAATTGAAGTTAAATAAAAGTGTGAAATGTAAAATAAAGTGTAAGTAGTTTCAAAACAATGTAACAGTGGCAATATATATAGCAGCAGACACACCTTAGTGCAAGTTAGGTGTCAGTATTAAAAAACAGTGGCAATATATATATATTAGGGCTGTCAAACGATTAAAAATTTTAATCAGATTAATCACAGTTTAAAAATTAATTAATCATGATTAATCACCATTCGAACTATGTCCAAAATATGCCATTTATTTATGTATATTGTTGTGGGAATGGCAAGATAAATGAAAGAAGGCGGATATATCCATTTAACATACAGTATCTATGTTTATTATAACATTTTTTCTGCGTGTCAAAATGAAAGACAGCCCACACACCTATCAATCATCAAACCGTGGGGTCTTAATTCATTACGTGTTGATTTCTATCAACAGGGGGGGTCGGGGGGCGCGGCGGCTCATGGAGTACTTCGTGACCACAGTGTGAACGTTGTGATCAGCTGTTTTAGCGCAGTTCTCCAGTGAAGGGGGGAGTCTCCCTCCGCAGTCGGTTGGCGTAGTTTTGGCACAATTCCGTTGTACAGACCGACGTTAACAGCAGCCCTGTCTGTGCACACAGAGACCGACTCTGTCGTCCGGTGATCTAACCGCCTTCTGGAAAAGCTTCACAAGTACGTCGGTACGCAAATGCGCTTTGTGACACAAGTGACGGTACGCATTTCAGATTACGCACATAACCTGCGTACCAGTTATGTGCACCCCTGTACTACAGCAAAAGTATTCTCCGTCGGGACTTCCTGCAACAACACCACGCCGTTATCAAAGATGTTCTATTGAGAAGACGATCACTATGTGACAAACGTTTTCAAAACCGTGGCTACTGAAATCAATCTTACTAACTGCTGTCTGTGCAATTTACTCCGCGCGAGTTGGCAGACTATATTTTGCTTACTTTAACATCATTTTTCATGGTGGGGCTAAGCCATTTCTTGGTATGGGTGTAGCCTACCCCAGCCATACCCTGGCGCTGCCACTGGTGGCACGTATGGGGCGGGCCATTCTGCACATGCGTTAAATGCGTTAAATATTTTAACGCAATTAATTCAAAAAATTAATTACCGCCGTTAACGCGATAATTTTGACAGCACTAATATATATATAATAACAATAGAAAATCGTTACCACTCTTATTATTGTGGTCTTTAATTTTGTTATAGTCCTGCCTGAGTTTCTTTATTTGTACCCGGCATCCGTGTGCACTGTGCACGATTCCCAGCTCAAGTAGCTTTTGCGAACATCGCTCAAAACATTTGGAGTTGGGAACTGCTTTCTGTAGAAGCTGCTGCATCCCGTCCTCAGAGTAAATTGCCAGAAGCGCAGACACTTCCTCATCATTCCACCGCTCCGGTGTTGTAGTACGTGTGGTCATAACTGCTTTAAAGTACAAAAAAACTACTCGCTCAGGTGTGGATGTGGTTTTGTAGCGAGGACAAAAATGGCTGCCTAACAAAAAAAATCAGAGTCTAACGGGGCGTGGTTTGCAATTCGCCCAGCCAATAGAAATAGAATAGAAATTGGCACTCTTTTATCACCAGGTTCGTACCACCTCTCTAGCAGGGACTGAAAATGGCCAAAAGAGTTCCCGGCATTGAGTAGTCCCGATGGTGTGAACGCGACATTATTGGTACTAACGGAACTAAAGAACCAAAGTACCAGGGAAAGTCCTGCAGTGTGATTGCGGCTTATGACTCGAGGTCTATTTTGATGCTAATACTTTTGTACTTTTACTTAAGCACAATTGTAAATGTAAGAATTGTACTTGTAACTGAGTAATTTTACACTGTAGTGTTACTACTTTTACCTAAGTAATCTGAGTACTTCTTCCACCTCTGGTTGTTGGTAACGATTATTATTGGAGACTGGAACACGGATATGCAACGTAAAGACACGTCCGTCTTCGAGTCCTTCAGTAGGATTTGTGATCTGCACGGCTCCAGCCAGCTAATCACCCAACCCACCCGGGTATGTGAAACAACACAAACTACCATTGATCTCATTCTGACCTCTGACAAGTCCAGGATCTCCAGTAAAGGGGTTATAGCATGCGGTTTAAGTGATCATTATATGATATTCTGTACCCGCAAAAAGCTAAAACAAAGGGCCGGCTGTCACAAAACAGTCATATCTAGAGACCTCAAAAACTACTCTAGCGAGGCCTTTAACCTAGAACTGGAGAGCCTGGACTGGTCAGATGAGCTCAGTGGTACACAAGTTGAAGAAACATGGCTTGGTTTCAAAAACAAATTCTCTGCAATACTCAATGATTTGGCCCCCCTAAGAACAACCAGGGTAAAAAATCGCGCTGAGCCGTGGATGCACTCCGGCATACTGACCGCCATGAAAACCAGAGACAAAAAATGCTCTGAGTTTCATAAAAGTCAGTCAATGCTTTCCAAAAGCACGAGCAGTGAACTCCAGGCCCACGTGACTGAACTAAAAATTGAAAGAAACAGACTAAGAAATGACGTAAGCTCCATGATCAAAACTGCCAAAAAGAATTTCATCAATGTCAAAACTGAGGAAAACAAAAATAAACCCCGTGAACTTTGGAAATTACTCAATAACCAGCTTGGCTGCAGTAAAAAACTCAAAACGAGATTTTCTAACTTAAACATAAAGACAGATAACAGGCTCATCACAGACAAACTGGATGTGGCCAAGTACTTGAAATTTTTTTTCACAAACATTGCCACAACTCTTGTAAATAAATTACCCTCCCACTCAGGGCTTTTTGGAGTAGATCACATCATGACCTACTACAAAAACCTAGGGGTACGCAAAGATGATTTCAGTCTAGCAAGGGTAACAACAGCAGAGGTACTCATTAAACTGAGCGCCCTCCAACCTAACAAGGCCACTGGCCACGACAATATCCCCTCCAAATTCCTCAGAGACACAGCAACCGCCATCTCACCAGTCATAGCTCACATAATTAACCTCTCCATAAAACAGGGAAAAGTACCCAAAGACTTCAAAATTGCAAGAGTAACCCCCCTGCACAAAAAGGGCAGCAAATTGGACCCAGGCAACTACCGCCCTGTTTCTATACTTACCTCCATCTCGAAAGTTATGGAAAAAATAGTATATGAACAGGTCGAAAAGTACCTCGCGGAAAAGAAACAAATCTATGAATTTCAATCTGGCTTTAGAACATCCCACTCCACAGACACATGCCTTCTTTATTTGAGCGACCACATCAAACAAGAGGTGGACGAGGGCAAGTACTGCGGCATGGTGATGCTGGACCTACAAAAGGCTTTCGACACTGTCAATCACCCCATTCTGATTGACAAGCTAAAAGCAATTGGTTTTGATAAACTATCGGTGAGCTGGATGCAATCCTACCTGGAGGGGAGAGAACAGATGGTGGAGGTAAACGGTACTCTGTCCCCCCCCCCTCCCAGTGAGCTGTGGTGTTCCACAAGGAAGCATATTAGGTCCGTTACTGTTCCTAATTTATGTAAATGACATGTCATCAGCATGTGACTGCAACTTGTTCCTGTTCGCGGACGACTCAGCCCTGCTGGTCTCTGACAGGAGCAGATTGCAGGTTGAAAAAACCCTCAGCTCCGAGCTCGGCAGAATTTGCACCTGGCTCGCCGATAATAAATTATCATTACACCTGGGTAAAACAGAGTCCATTCTCTTCGGTTCGAAACATAATCTCAGCAAATCCGACAACTTCTCAGTTGCAGTGGGTGACATTATTGTCACAAGTAAGAAGGAAATTACATACCTAGGATCTATTCTTCAGGCAAACCTCTCCTGTGACAAAATGGCATCCAATGTAATAAAAAAAGTCAATCAAAGAACTAGATTCCTATACCAGATCTCCTCTCTGGTAAACAAAAACACCCTGAAAACTCTGGCAGGAGCACTCATTCAAGGGTACTATGACTATGCTTGCACGTCATGGTACCATAGCACCTCCAAGGCGCTAAAAATAAAACTTCAAACATCGCAAAATAAACTGGTCAGACTACTGCTTGACCTTTCATCTAGAACCCACCTCACCTCTGCCCACCTTGACAACATAGGATGGCTTAGAGTAGACGACAGAGTACAGCTACTTGCAATGGGCCTGGTCTACAAGATCCACTACACCTCTATGGTACCCATGTACATGTCAAAATTCTTCCCAAAGGTCAAGGAATACCATGATCATAACACCAGAGGGAGCTCCACAAATCATGTGAAACCCAGATTTGGCACAAAAAAGGGGGAATACATGTTTCGCAATTATGCCACATCAAGGTGGAACGCTCTTCCCACAACTGTAAAGGAAAGTAAAACTATACTTACCTTCAAAACCTCTCTTAAAGAGCACCTTCGGGGGAGAGCATTGCAAAACTGGCCCCGGTAATGGTACAAATCTCAACCTGTCGTTCAATGGACAGCTTCCCCCCCATCTATGTATATACTCGCATTTTAGACTCTGTTACTAACTGTATATCTGTAGACTTGGTATGTCTTAAATGTCCGGTTAGGATGTATTAGAACGAAATCTAAAATGAAAATTGTAAATAAGCAATCTGTATGTAAAAAACCACCTGTATGTAAATTGTAAATAAGCCATCTGTATGTCAAATATGTCTTATATGTCTTAAATGACATGATGAATTGGAAATGAGGGACCCTGATGTAAACAAGACGAAAGTCTTTCTCTGGTCTGCATCCCCTTAACAATTGTATGTTTTGAGCTGTACTGTACTGTACCCAATATACAAGCTGTTAATAAACTTTTCAATCAATCAATCAAACGGTTTATTAACACCGACATGTATCAGCCCATGAAACCATTACAATCCATAAATAAATGACGATCACTTGTAACAGCATTGTTTTTACTTACTTAAGTTCTGTTTTTATCCTATATTTTTGAGCGGAGAGTACAGTAATTTCTGCTAGGATTGAAAGAAAAAAGTGATGTATCATAGTAGCAAAAGGTGGTTTATATTGGCTGAATAGACAAACACATGAGCAATGATGACACAACTATCTGTAATGTAAGCTCACACAAATAAATATGGACTTCATTCGAAAACGTGGTATTATTTAAGTTAACATTTGTAGTGTGCCTAAAACAAAAATATTTTAATGTCCCATCATTGCTTGAATGTGTTTCATGCGCATTTCAATATGGTCTGCTCTGTGATTGGACAGACGTCTCATGAATATTCTATAGACCCGGAAGTGGGGCGGTACTGCTGTTTTGCTGTCGAGTCACCTCTGTCAGGATGGAGGAAAACGAACTGCTATCATGCTGAAAATCGAAGGATCCCAACAACCGAGCATCATCCACCGGGAGAGTTAGACACAAGTCACCGTTTATCTTCACTGCTGTATTTGTTTATATAACGCTTTGCCAAAATGATGGAAGAAATCGACCGGTTCCAAGTACCTCCAGTCAACGGAGAGACCCAGCCTTTGGTAAGGGAGCAAACACAAAAACACATTTTATGCAAATTAATCTATTCAAAGCAACATTTTTGTCTCGCTTGTGGGTTTATCGTGTGACAGTTGTTTGACATAATCCGTGTTTGTGAGCAACCGCTAAGCAATCTTCAGCTTCAGCACAAACTGGAGCTTTGGGATGGGTGTAGATTGATATTGTAAAGATGGAAAGATAGCAGCTAACGGTGTATCTCTTCCGACAGTGATAACATAAATAATACATATCATGGTTAAATAATAAACACGCCTTTACTTTATTCTATCATATAAATTAAGCTACGCATTTGGCTCAAATCATTATTTATAAAAACAATCAACGTCACTATGCGCCTGTTTACATCAATATCTGACATAGTGGATTTTTTGTTGTTTTACATTTCGTCATTTGGTGACGTGTCATTTGGATCAGGATGGGAGCTGTGAGCCTAAATGGTCGAGTGAACAGTATATCTATCCACACCGATGCTGCAGACTGCAATCCCCAGGATGGTTAGCCCGAGCAGGCCCATAGTAGGGGAATAGTCTCCTTCCATGATTTATTATAGGACAGACCTGCCAGTAAAATTAGACTGCAGCTGCAGCCAGTGATGACACAATCCGTGCTTTATCCCCATTGCAGTGTTTATAACATACATATGTGTTTGGATGCCGGTATAAAATAGGCCAAACCTGCACACTGGACAATATCTGAAATGAAAAGTCATGGCCGGCAATAACTTACTGAACCACTGTTGTTGTTCCCTTCATGTCATGTTGAGTTGAGCTTTACCCATACAGCTTATAGATGACCATGGATCATTCTGACACACCAGCCTCCATACTTCAAACAAAGCCATCTCAAACAGCTGTCCCCCTTTTTTTTTTCTTCAAGTGTTTGCCTTAGAGGTTTAGGCAAAAGTAGAACTCCATGTTTTACTGTTCATTATCGTTCCTGTGTTCCCCAACCCTCCTAACCCCTGAGGCTAAACACAGCAGATTTCACAGAAGAACATACTTCTGTGAAACAGAAAGTCTCCTTTTTAATGCAGCTGCAAATGCCTCTCCTTATGAAGATTTGATCAGTCTGCTCTCATGTTTCATCCAGTGTGATTTCTGTGGAATGAAATCCAGTATCAGTCAGAAAACTCTTGATATTACAGAATTGATTTCTTATCACCTCATGTAAATGTAGAGTCAAACAACACAATCTTAAATGTTACCTTGCTTTTATGTGCAACTCCATCCTTTGAAACAGGCCCTCACATTTTAAACCGTGTCTGATTGTGTCACAGTAGCTCTGGCACACATGGCACGCATTTGAATGCTAATAACTTCATTGTGATTCCTAAAACAGCATGAATACATTTGGCACCTGCCTCCTTGTTTTTCTGCAAATTTCACGCAAATCAAACAGCTTCTTTTGCAATTTGAGGGATTTAAATCACTGATATATTGTATTTTATAAAATACCTTTCAAACTTTAGATGTAATTATTCACTTGGTATTTCTTATTAACCTACACTTTATTAAAACATGCCCTTTTTTGCATTAAGCACAAGGACATTTTGAGAATGATTACTGTGGGCAACATCTAGAGCCCGGCTAACATTGTCATAAGGATAGCAAGCAGCTGATTTATTGGTCACCTGATGTATTAGTCTACACTGCTATTGGCCAGTGGTCGGCTGTGATGTATAATCCTAGCAATCGCTTGCTGTCTGTGCTGTGTCAGCAACCTTGTAGCTCTTCATCATCAGAGGCAGTAAAGGAGTTGGAGGACAGGCTGGTGAAACTGATACACTAAGAGGTCGTAGGTGCTGTGGTGGTGTGTGTGTGTGTGTTGTGTGTGTGTGTGTGTGTGTGTGTGTGTGTGTGTGTGTGTGTGTGTGTGTGTGTGTGTGTGTGTGTGTGTGTGTGTGTGTGTGTGTGTGTGTGTGTGTGTGTGTGTGTGTGTGTGTGTGTGTGGGTGTGTTGTGTGTGTGTGTGTGTGTGTGGTGTGTGTGTGTGTGTGTGTGTGTGTGTGTGTGTGTGTGTGTGTGTGTGTGTGTGTGTGTGTGTGTGTGTGTGTGTGTGTGTGTGTGTGTGTGTGTGTGTGTGTGTGTGTGTGTGTGTGTGTGTGTGTGTGTGTGTGTGTGTGTGTGTGTGTGTGTGTGTGTGTGTGTGTTGATGTGTGTGTGTGTGTGTGTGTGTGTGTTGTGTGTGTGTGTGTGATGTGTGTGTGTGTGTGTGTGTGTGTGTGTGTGTGTGTGTGACACCCGACCGACCATGAGTGAGCGCAATGCATAAGGGTTAAGGTAATGCATGTTAAAGGTTATGGCCACTTGCCTTGTTGGACTTTTCATATATTATAACCCCCATTGTGTCGTCCCAAAAGTCGAAGGCTAGGTTATTATTGGTAGATGTTGTCAACACTTGCGTACGATTTTCAAGGAACTATAGTCTCTTAATATATAAACAGCCGATCACATTTTGGGTCTTTTCAACTACATTTTGTGAGTAACTCCTCAAAATAGTGGTGCATTAGGACTTTTTTTATACTAAGGCTGTGTGTATTGGCAAGTTCTGGCGATACATTATTTATCATGATACAGGGGTTACAGTTAAATAAATCATGATTACTTTAAGCATTTATCTATATAACATTTTAAATATATATATTTTAGGAAAAGCTTCATAATATGAAGAACACACCACCTATTGCAATCACAACAGTGGGATCGACATTTGCATTTCTCACCTTTCCTGTGACATCCAATATCATAGCTCTACTTTTGGTGATAAGTGATTAATACTGTCCAATTACCTCCTTACACAATACATATACAAAATGGAAAGTGTTAGAAATTGTACAGGATGAGAAAACATAATATTACTTCATCCTTATTGGATAAAGGTTTTTGAACTTTATTTCACATTTTTTAGGCCACATTTTAAACTGATATAGTGTAAGCTGTTTTACTCTAAGACGGGTTTGTTTATTGTGGGATATACCCCGCTTGTGTGTATTAGCAATGGAGGCATATTATGTTGAAGAAGTGGCAGTGAATTCTGTCCCAGACATCATAATACTGAGTCTCTTTCATTAATAACCGCCAGTTCTGCTGCATCATTTCAAAGGGATTTACTTTACAGACAATTTGACCCTACCTCATCACAGTATCTGTCCATGGTGGAAGAAAAGTGTGAAAAAGAAGATCCTTTGGGTGAGCCTTAATGATCCAAGGGAAGGGCCTGTCACAGAACAGAAAGAGCGTGTGTGTGCTCGTTACAGTGGGAAGGCCTCATCTGTGTGCTGTGCTTTCATGCTCCTAGTTCACTGTTGCAGCTCTCATGAATTATTCCAGCCAGATGAAGCAATGCTTCATCGCTAGATTAGAAGACAGCTATTGAATGCATTAAAGGTGACTGGCTTTAGTGGATCACAGTTTGAAGAAAAAAACCTTCAAGCTGTCATTCATCTCTCGATATTGTAGAGAAGTGGGGACGTGTTCTTGAGACGAATTGCTAAGGTTGGCAGCACTCTTTTTTTCATCATCGAAATAACCTGAAATAATTTAATGATGTTATTAAACTAAGAAGAAGCATGAAATCTCCATATTCGAAGCTCAACCAGCTGCCCTTTTTGCACGAGTAATTTGTTTAACCAATAAAGCATTATCAAAATAGTTGGCTACTGTTTTCTGAGAATCAATTCAGCTCTAGTGAAATGTGCGCATTACCTTGACATTACATGTATCCGTGTTGTGCTTTTCTGTTTTATCAGATTTAGTTTTTGGCAGGCGTCTTGTTTTTAAACGTGTCACATGGAAATTGATATGCAAAATAAGCCTCTCACTGTCCCTGCTAAATACTCATGCATTTTTTTATCAAGCTCTGTGAGATTGGATAAGCTTTATTGGTCACATGGAATTGGCCTGAATTCCTAGAATATCTCTAGACCTTTTTATTTTGCAATCTTTAGAGACACTTAAGATGAATGATTAAAAAAAGAAGAAGTGTTTTTTAAAATAGATATAAAACACTTATAGATTGTATTTGACATTATTAAAATATATGAATACAAGTAGCATACAAGTATGTGAGAAGTGATCTGATCCCATGTGATTTTTCAACTGTAAGGTTCTGAGTTTCAGCTCCAGTTATTTAATTTTGATCGTTTAAATATAGCAGACATTTCTCTGGAGAGAATACAGAGTGTTTGACAGCCAAATGCTCGGTAGCCTTCGCCCATGTGGCCTTTGGGGACCCTCAGAGTGCAACAAGGGAAGGCCTGTAGGACCAACATAATGTGGAGCTCTGTCACGGAGCAGGCCTAGCGCGGCCCAGCTCCCCTCTCTCAATCTGGGGAAACCGTGGCTCCAACAGCAACCTCCCTGTTCTCCCACGGCCTCCTCCTCATGCCATCACTGCTCACACATAAAAGAACACTCAGACCTATTGATGCTGCAAGCCAGGCAGCTATAGTTGCACATAGGCCTGGGAAATCTTGCCAGGGTATTGGACACATGCGGGTCCTAAAAAAAGAGCTCATTTTGTGGCCTATGTGGGCCACTGCTAGCTGGTGATAAATCAGATGGTTGCTCTTGAGTTGAGTGTTCCCTCAGGACCGTGTTTAGGCGCCAGATGACAGTATAGAACAAGTGGATTCTAATTGTATTACTAGTAAAAGCCTTGGGTCAAAGTTAAATTCCTGTCGGCTTCTGAATTAGCAAACAATGTAGTCTATGAAGAGACAGGACCCCAGGATATGTATCTGAGATATATGAGATTGTTCTAAAATAAGATGTCACATGTTTGTTGTTGACGTTGTTATTAGGGGTGTAAATCGCAAGTATCCCTATGATGCAATATATATAGATTATTTGGGTAACAGTGCGATCATTCTGGTATCACAAAGTCTGCTACCATACCATTTTGATTAGATCAAATTCAGGGGCCTGGGATCGATTTGGGAAAATATATTTGTATCAACTCACAAAAAGCAATTATAATATTATTTGATTACTGGGTTCTTCCAGACACTTAAATGAGAAACAATCAATAATTTTCGAGAAAAAGAGTACAAAAAGATACCTCCTGTTGTTCATATACTGTGTCACTACTCTCATGTTAAAGCACTGTTTGATGTTCATGAAGGAGGTGCGTTTTCACAGAAATGGTCACCCAGACGTGCCTCATGAATTTCAAAATAAAGGCGCTTTGCAGAGACTATGACGTGTATAGATGTCTTTACTTTGCATTAATCATATTGCATAATCTATCCTTGATTGATACCTTAATACATAGCACTGTAACATTGATAGCTGTTGTACATTTATTTAATATACTTTTTCATGCTTCGTTAAAACTATTCCCTCTGCTTTTCATTTTAGGACCCAGCTGCATCCTCCACCTCAGAGGCAGACCCTGACACAAAGGGAGAGTCTGTGGCCATGAACTACAAGCCCTCACCACTGCAAGTCCAAATAGGTATCACAAACACGCTGCAAATCAATATATCACATGCCTTTACATTGACTATAGTTACATTTTAACAGGAGCAGTAGCAAAGAATAGAAAGCTTTGTATGCAGATTTGTGTTGCACATCATGAAAAGTCAAAGCAAGTCTATTCGACATCAGTTAAACATAGATCTAGTACCATACAATGTTCAGAGAGTATTACATGTCAGAGGTGCCATAACATTTCTGAGCTGCCATTGTTTTTGTACTGCCACAACACTGTGAAAGCCACACTCCACTATCCTTGTTTTTATTTACTCCTAAGGGCTCTGTTCCAAATACATTGCCAACAAACATTGTTTTCTGAAACCCTGAAGTCAGCATTTCAAAAATGTTCAAGATTGCATCCTGTAAAAGACATTTATAATGAATCAAATGTCTTGCCTGTGCTGGCTACAGAGACTCGACTATAATTTATAGCAGCTGTAGAGCAGATACAATGAAAAGTATTTTATTTTCAACATATTTGAATGTTTTTTTCAACTAAATAATCCACAACTGACGGTCTTGAAGTTGAGCTGTATTGAATCATTTAATGATGACCTCACATCCTGTGGTTGCCCAGAGAAACAGAGGGATCTTGCCAGGAAGGGATCAGTGAAGAATGGCACTGTGGGAAGTCCTGTCAATCAGCAGCCCAAGAAGAATTCCAGGACAAGGTAACAGCTTCCACCGCCTGCTCATTTCCTGTTGTGTCCTCCAGCACAAATGTTACACTTTGCATCTCAAGCAATATGTTATTGTAACCTGCGCTCGGCCTGCTACTGAAGCCGTTATTAGCTGCCAACCTGCTTGGGTCATTAGACGCCATTTGACTTCGTAATGCTACTACTACAACGCACAACAAAGCTGTTGAGAGGAAGGGGGTGCGAGTGGTGACCCAGTACAACCCACAACATTGACAACTGGCTCATCCGTCTAATCCTACTCCCCAGTGGATTAGTGGAAATATAAGAAAGGCTACCGACTGGTCTGGACTCAGTCTCCGAAGGGAAAAGATAATCTAGACTCGCCTGCAGTCTCAAAACTACAGATTAGCCCCCATTTTTTATGTTTTGTGACCCGTTAGAAAAGCAACATTTACAGTACAATTAAACTGTTCCTCTCTTCCTATGTTAGGAAGTATGTTGGTGTGTGTTTCAGTAGGAATGCATCTAACTGCTCGGCGAAAATAGATTTTTCAAATCTGTCCTCTTTGTGTCTGTCTCCTTTTCTGTGCTCGTATTCAGGTTGGTCGTGCCAAATAAAGGCTACTCGTCTTTAGACCAGAGCCCAGATGAGAAGCCCCTGGTGGCACTGGACACTGACAGGTATGTACATTATTTCATAACACTAAAATATCACACTGTATGAAAAACCACTTTGTCAGGCTGACCTAAAAGGACAGGACATGTTCCATCTTGTAGTTTTGCAGGTCTCACTCTGTCATCATGGTAACATTAATCCATAGAGCAACTTGAGAGAGTTCTTAACAGAAGGGATCCTAAAAAGGGGGTAAAGCCTCTCCCAGGGCGCAGGATTAGCGGATAGCGGGGTGAGGATTTGGACGGGGAAAAGCGGCTCAGAGGGAAATGTGTGCTCCCTTCCACTCTGTACCAGCAGGTCTGCATTTGACGCAGATGAGTCCCACCCTTTGTGTCCTCACCAGGGAAACTCTCATGTGAAATGAGCACTCTGCAAGCTAACCACACTTGCATCATGTATTGCATCATGCACACACCCTCTGACAACCTTTCTGGCACACAGGACCCCCGTTTGTTTATTGTCCACATTTTAGTTTCACGTGAAGAGGCTTTATACAATGACACTCTGTTTGTTTACAGTGACGAGGGCAGATTACTCATTTAGTGGAAAAAGCCTGTTTGCTGTGTTGGCCTGATATTTCTACTTCTTAGAACATATCTATAATAAAAAGGGTTCATTGTTGCCTGTAGTTTGTTGAACATGTCGCTACAGTGTGAACATCCAGCCTCATTGTTAAAGCCAATCGTTTCATAGGACTCAAGAGACGGCAGCAGCATGTTAGCTTTAAAGTGTTCTTTAAAGGGACATGTGGCTTACTACTCAGTCTGTGAAAATGGTTGTAATGTTTTCATGTGTAAGTTAAAAATTAATAAATGATACAATAACCTTGAATTACCTTTTTGGAAACAGAATACAGAAACAATTTCTCACCTACTTATTGAAATATCCCATACATTTGGATGGAGAGGGAGTCACTAATTTAAAAGCTACTAAATCTTTCTACACTGTTACATTAAAGATATTATTATTCACTATGATAATTATTAACAATAAAAAAAATATATACAGTGACTGACTTTATATCTTTATACTCCAGTTTTTTTAATTGAATTATTTAAGTCTTCTAATATTCAAATGTTATGTTCTCAATATGTATTTATATAACTTATATCTGATCTGTCTGTGTTGCGTTTTAAGTTTCTTTTGTATATTATCATTTTGTAAAAAAACAAACTAATACATACATACTACTTATTTGAAACAGAAAGTCTGCAGTACAGACTGGGACCACATAGTTTGAAAGACAAAAGAGCTTACAGAATTGCATTATGGGTAATGGAGGAGCCACCTTCTATTGGCTTACCTATACTTCGCCTAAAAGTCAGGATATCTCAACATGTGCTGCTCCGAACTACTCGTTAAAAAAAGTGACCATATGTTACTATTGTTTGGACCATCATATGTTTGTGTCTAACTTCTGCTGTCTCCTGTCTCTCAGTGACGATGACTTCGACATGTCCAGATACTCGTCATCAGGATACTCCTCAGCCGAGGTGAGATGTCTGAGGGACCAGGTATCTATACACGCATTATACTGTTTCACTGCGTCATATGGTGAACCCCCAAACATCAACACCTGATCACCCAGTTCCATTGTCACACCAGGTATCTGTGCACCCATTGGAAAAATATGTATACTGTCTTCTCGGAGGACTCATAGTCACAATCATCTGTAGTTATCTCTCCATAAGTCATATCCAAATTCCTGTTTCATTTCTTCCTCTTAGAGTAGAATATATTTTGTTATGTTGTGCTTCTTGATTCCCCTCATTGCCACCACTGATCTGCCTGCACTATACACTGCTGCCTTCTGTTTCTGTCATATTTAATTTATTCGGATCACCATTGTTTTGAACACCTATATTAAGATTTTTGGAATTAACATAAGACTAATTTAACCAACAAGGTGTCTCCCGGCTGAAGGATTTGTCAAAATTGTCCCAAAGCTTTGCTGATACTGCTCTTTTTGCATCCTCAGCAGATCAACCAGGACTTGAACATCCAGCTCCTGAAGGATGGGTACCGGCTCGATGAGATCCCGGATGACGAGGATCTGGATCTGATCCCCCCCAAAGCAGTCAACCCCACCTGCATGTGCTGCCAGGCTGCTCCCTCCACAGCCTGTCAAATCCAGTAGCACCACCCCCCTTCCACCTGCACCGAGGCCAACTACTGACCAGAGTGGCAGAAAGGAGGAAGAACTATCGGCTGGCAGAGGCACAAAGGGGAAACTAGGCTTTATAAAGGCTAAATTAAGAGATGTAGATAGGTCTTGAGGAGAAGAGTCAATATGTACAGTATCTGTGCACGTTCCTCCTATGGTTGGATCTGTGCATCTTACTCGATTGATGGCAGAAACATTACCTCTAAAGGAAAACACGTTACTTTTGCTTCTTCTTCCTTTGACGTCCATCTCATGCTTGTGGATAAGGACCATGAAAGATGTTGGAGAAGAACCGAAACAAAATTGGTTGACAGGGCGACATTACCGTGTCATCCATGGAGTCCACTTCTACTAGTCTACTATGGTCAGATTGGATGGACAAGAAGAGATTGGAAGTGTTGTAGTGGCCATTTTGTTCTCATTTGTTTTAGCCAGTCTGCTCTGTCTTCCTGTGTATATATGTGTCAAAAGACATGTGGGTCTGAAAATGTCAAAGAAGGAAGTGCTCAGCCATCAAGCTGCTGATGAAACACTAATGCTTACACTCAAAACACTATGAGAGTAATTCCAGTTTTTTTTTTCTGTTACACCAAGGTTGTTTTCATTGCTTAATTGTGTCATATTCAGTTAAAAGAAGCTGAAAACAAATAGTTTTTGCATGTTGCCTGTTAACACTGTGTCCTAATGACCGGCTTGCGCAGTTTGAATCGACCTCCTAACACATCCTTGTGCTGACGATACATTATGTGAGGCGTGCTCTTAAAAAAACACAAAGTTAGTTAAAATGTAGGTACACTCACTGTAATTTCAGTCGGTAGAAAGAAACGGTCAAAAATAATGTCAGAACAGCTCACAAGTTGGCACGAATCTACTTTGTGTTTGTCCATGTTAGCCCCCACGTGTGTGAATGTGTACAAGGAGCACAAAGGCAGTCACCACCATGATTGTTGTTACAAAATATTAATAGGAATATTAATACGAGGCTTAGAATATGTGCAAATACATAGAACATTGTGCAATTTTGGCCATACCTGTTGTGGGTTCAGAAGAATGTCTTTAAAGTGATTCCATATTGCCAGAATGGAAATGATGAGATTTTTTTTTGAATGGTTGTACATTTGCGCATATCCCCCTTTAGGTATTAATATAACCGATTTTTTTTAATTTGATTTTGGGAAAGGAAGTGTATATGTAGCACAGGACACAGCTGTGTATTGTCAATGTTTTTTTTTGCGATGGATGTTTCCCACAACGTTGAAGAGTACGTTTTTAGGAAGTACCGAACGCAAATAGTTTATTTGTCACGTTTACATCACTCTAAAGACATATCTAGAAGATGAAGTCACCTGCATGTGAATCTGCTCTGAAACAACAGATCCTTTCCCTAAACACAAAATGCACATCTGATGACACCTAAAAAATATTTTCTATTTAGCAAATCTTGAACCTAGATACACTCTTATTTCTTTTCATATGACTACAGTTCGAAGTATTTGTGCACTTTACACTGTGGTGCAAGTTCTTCTCTCGTGACAAGCTGAAGTGTATTCGGTATGACTCGTATTCAAGGGACTTGAGATTAGGATGTGAACTTACTTATGAAAATACTGTGCGCATCTACTATGAACAACTTTATCTTGATTCACTTTGTGCACATATTGCAGCGTTGTATAAAACTTTGCATTCCTCTTTCATAACTGTTGATTTTTAAACACGTTTACAATTTGTTTACATTTACATGAAAATCCATACAGATACAACCGCGGAAAAAGAGCATCTCTTTGAGCTTTTTTGGTTAAAGATGTGCCAGATCTGCGTACATGTAAGAATGGTCAACAAAGGAAGAGGTGTTTCTGCTCTGGTCAAAGGAATGACTGAATAGTGACGTATGTAAAGGAACTCAAAGCTACTTGGGAAGAGAACAAAAATGATAAATCCTGTTAATCTGTTAACACTTAAAAGGGCATCTCCTTTACATGATACTGCCCCAATGTTTCTGCAGCATTGAAATTACAAAAGTATTTGAACAAATTTAACTAGCAAAATATGGTGCCATGTGTGTAGATTTGAAAACGACTTGCATTAAGTAGAAAAAATACACGAATAGTACAATAGGTGACTAAAATGGCTACTATAACTACAGTTAACACCAACATTGAGGAAATGGTGCTGAGTTTCTTTTCTTCTTTCTTTGACATCATGCTATTTGATTCACTCACAGGCCAACATTGTGTCACTGGGTTGTGTAGCTTCACTAATCTCTTGACTCTAGAATAATGTGTTGTAACATAAGCTATTTATTTGCAGTTGTGCGTTTTTAATTTATTTTCAAGAATGGAAAATAATCCATATCCAGACTGAAGCTTTTTATTTTATTTGTGTTTGTCAGGTGCTTATAATGATGATTGTGAACTGGTTCCATTTAGATTTTAACAGTGTCAAAGTTCTGTGTATCGTGCAACATATCAAAAATAAATATTAGATATCTGCAGTTGGAGGGTGTCTGGTTTTTGTAATTCCTTGTTATGCCATTTCATTTTTAAGCAATCTTTTACACATGCCACCAATGGACAGTCTCATTAGGGGATGAAGTCTACAAGGAAGTCAAGTGCAACTGTTGTCCCTGCAGGAGATGCAACAAATAGCTACTGTATGAAACCTTTTGCCCCCCACACAGAGTCTCTGCGGGTGATGTGTGATTATCTACTCAAGTGAATGAGGGTATAGAAAGATAGAGGAGTAGTGAGTGTGAGGGGTGGGGGGTTGGGTATTTGTGATTAGCCTTGAGTTGATCCTTTGGAAGCAGATGGCGAATGGTGGCTTACCTACAGTACAGGAGACGCCTTGAATCCCAGGAGCTAGTTTCATGTCCGAGCAGCAAGGAGTAGCACTGAGGAAGACCTAGGACGAAGGTTCATGAGACAGGAGCGTTGGGAGACTGGTGAGGAACATTTAACTGCACACAAAAAAGATAGTGGAACTTTATAGATGTCTGTCATCTGTCAGTGTTATGGAGACTACGGTACACTCTACGTGACCATATGGATAGCCAACCTTTAGACTTCGAATACAGCAAATATCCTTGCCATAAAAAAATATTTGGACTCTATTGAAATCATATGTACATTTGAATGTGTATAGACTGGCCTTGTATGTATGTATGGCCTGGTCTCTATTGATATCAGGACAGAAGAAAGTCAACACAACTTCCATTGCAGACTGAAAACCCACCTGTTTCAACTACACATTGGCCAAAACATTTAAAAACCTAAAAAAAAGTTGCACTTCTGTATCTAAGGTTTGGCGTTAATTGAAGCCAATGCAGTAGCACTTAAAGTGGTTTGGCATAGTGAAAGCTAATGCACTTGCAGGACTTTCTTTGCTATTTTCAGTTTATATCATATCTTCATGGTTGATTGCACCTGTTGTTAGTTACTTTGTATAAAAGCATCAGCTCAATGAAACGTAATGTATCGAATGAAGCTTCCTGTAACATCACCCTTCCCTCATACTGTAGATTGAGGCTATAAGAGGACACAGGCAGGAAGTGACATCATGTTGCCGAGAGAGCTGAGTGTAGCTGCCGTGCTGCTGCTCTGCGTCCAGTCGCTGCATGGCTCTGCTTTCCATCCAGTTTCCTCCCATGAGTTCACTGCCTACAGGATGCAACAGTACAACTTAGTACAACAGAAGTATGGTAAGTTCAGAGAGTTGCATATCCAGTGCTGGAAAGTACATTTACTTACAGTTTTGACCATTCATTTTATGCTGCTTTTTTACTTCTAGTTGCCTCTATTCGAATTTGTGCTCCATTGCATATGTCTCAGAGTTGCAGTCACAAGTTACTTTTTAGATTTAACATAAAGCAACATATGATTATGCTGTTGATGTGAATACCACAAGGGATAACAGCTTACATTTAAGAAAGAGATATGAATACTATTACATTTGCTAACCAATCGTGATTGGTGATTCAATAAGATTGAGATGCGATCACACTAAATCGCCACGCCAAATAAGATCATTGGTGTAAAGTAAATATTTATTGGTGAATAATTATTACAGATGCACTCATTTAAAAACTGTTGCTAATTGAAATCAAGCCAATTCAAACTAACAACGTGTCTCATGTATAGCAATGTATACTATCACATAAGCTGATATTGTTTGCATTTAAATTTGTATCATAAATAAATAAAGCTCAGATTAAAATTACAATATTCTAAAATCAGAATCAGAAATCCTTTATAAGTCCCACAGTGGGGAAATGTACAGTGTTACAGTAAAAAGTGACATAGGTAAAAAAAGGCATGCAATATTAAAGACAAAGCTAACTTAATATAGAGAAGAAAAGCACACATTAGTAAGACAAAAAATAAAGTCAAATAAGTGTACATCCATGGCTAAAAAGGATGAGTATCATCTTAAAGAACTTAGTGACAGACGTATTATTTCCTTTTGTATTTCTGCTTTGAAGAACAGCTTAACATCTAAGTGGCCTGTGTTCATTTCACACTCGTGTGTTCAGGTTGCCGTGGAGCCATCTTGGGGGCGGAGGCACGCTCAGCAGACGAGCCGGTGCTGACCCGCCGCTGCGTCATCATGAAGGTGATGGACTTCACCACAGAGAAATACCTCGAGGCCCAGAGGCAAAATGCTGCTGCCATCCTCATCCTGCTGCCCACAAATATCTCTGCCGTCCCCTACGATTCAATACAGGTAACAAGTTGCTTCAGGACATGCTGCAAGGCAACAAGTACAAATAATACAGCATCTTTTCTGATCCATCAAGCAGTTTCTGAATGTCATATCTCACATCCTAGTGCTCCAGGGTAAACAGCCTGCTCAAGTGTTAATGATCACCACACCACAGGGCATCAAAAAGAGTAGTTTCAACAATCCTCTTTTCCCCTCGCAGTCCTTTATGGTGAGTGAGAGTGAGGTCTTGCTGAAGGAGATCCTCATTCCAGTATATGTGGCGCCTGAGGATGAGAAACTGCTTATCATGTATGAGGAAGTCAAGCAAGCTGCAGCCACCAGGACCTTGTCTATATTCGTCAGAGGTGAGGGCTGCAAGAGGTTATTTTTACTGTGAAGATGTTGAAAAAACATTACACTGAGGTTTATATGCTTTTTCATTTTTGGCAGTCCTTCGAAGTATGGTGACAGCTACAGCCTTTCAGATGTCATTGAGCAACACTGCAGCTATAAAGAGCAGCACTGACACCACCTTCACCACGCTGGAGGTGAGTATGGGACCAGGACAGATGATTTAAAACATTTGATTGACATTCTTCAGTTTTCAAACTGGATTAGTTTGACTTGTGATTAGTCGTTATTTCTGCATGTATAACTAGTGATGTTTTCTTCAGGGAGTGCTTCCCGGAGCCGAGGAGGATGCGCCCACAATCGTAATCACCGCCCACTATGATTCCTACGGGCTAGCACCAGTGAGTTACATAAACATTATGAATCCAATTTTCACTGTTTGGTTGTTTCTATGCAAACTACTAAAAATATCCAAATACAATATATTTGTTGTCAAGGAAAATTATATAAAACCCTCCAGGGGCATGACAAGAGGAACTTTTAGGAAATACAACTGAAAAGAAATACAGTAATGTGATGCAATCTACACAGTTGTATGTTCTGCATCTATGAATGCTTTTAGAAAAAGCAAAAAACAGAGACTAAGTACATAAACTTAAATACTTGTATTTTGTCTACTCCATCAAATGTATTTGATAACTTAATATTTATAATACAGAACAAATCTAGAAAATAATGCATCATGTATTTAACGGTAAGATAACACTTTAGCTACCTAGCAACATGTACAGTAAAGCTTTAACATTGAAAAATATATATTTTAACTTACTTTAATACTACTATACTTTTTGTTTTTAAAATACATGTGAACACTAATGTGTGGAATAAGTATGGATTTTATAATTGTATGCAAATATGTCTTGAAAAAGGGGTCAAGGGTTATTTTTACATTTGCTGTATAATTCTTTCTCCATTCATATATATGTTTGTGTTTTTACCACAGTGGTTGTCGTACGGAGCAGACTCTAATGGCAGTGGCGTCACCATCCTGCTGGAGTTAGTTCGTCTCTTCCAGAAGCTTTTTAGTAGTCCAGGCACCAAACCACCGTGAGTTACAGTCCCCCCCAACAGAACGACCTTAACATAAGGTCAAGCTAGTTAGTGTTTATATGTGTCCACATTTCCCAGTGATGCTAAAAGTTGGCCTCCAAGTATAAAAGTACAACAAGCTATGAGAGCATACCTTTTTTATTATGAGTGAAGAACATAAAAATAAAGTATTTGGTGCAGGCAGATAACAATTCTTGACCATGTTCTGATTTATGTTTGGTCTTTAGATTCAATCTAATGTTCTCCTTAACTGGAGGAGGAAAATACAATTTCCTTGGCACAAAGAGATGGATTGAAGATCATCTGGACCACGCTGGTGAGTTTTTCTTGAAGTGTTTGGACTACTATATCTGAACATAAGCAGCCCATTTAAATCGTTCCTCCAAACCTTTTCACTGCAGAGTCCAGTCTGCTCCATGATAATGTGGCGTTTGTGCTGTGTTTGGATACACTGGCCAACAGTGATGAACTGCACATGCACGTGTCCCGCCCTCCTAAACCAGACAGTCCCATACAGTCTTTCCTTGAACAGCTGGAGGAGGTAAAGAAACTTTACTGCTAGGTCCAGAGAAATGGACTTGGTTTATCTCAGTTTTCTTGGACTTCAAATGTGTGAATTCTCCTGCAGGTGGTGTCCTCCAGATTCCCCTGGGTGAAGGTGGGATTGGTCCATAAGAAGATCAATCTTGTGGAGTCCTCAGTAGCGTGGGAACACGAGCGCTACAGCCTGCGCAGGATACCAAGTTTCACTCTGTCTCGTCTTGAAGACCCCAAATCTGAGCTCCGTGGCTCCATGCTAGACACCATGTGGGTTCTTAATTCTGATTCTGATTGTTAGACACTGCATATGAAGAGATGATGCAAAGAAACACATAACAGTTGTATTGTGTCTTCCCACAGGTCACAAGTGGACTTCAGGAAAATGAAACGTAATGGCGTCATTGTAGCAGAGACATTGGCACGTTATATGTACAATCTCTCTGACAAGGTGATTAAATGCATACAAACATAACGCATGCGCATAACGCATAATAATAATTGTTCACCATCATTTCATCTGCATTTCATTGCAATTAATCTTTTGATCTCCCTTTATTTCCACAAGGGTTCACCGAAAGATATGCAGGTGTTCAAGGGCCAATTGGTAAGTTTCTGGTTATTTTGGTAAATATAATCATTTATATAATGCATCTTTGACAATTGCTGACCTCTGGTGTTAGTTTATGGGAATTGCAGTGTATATCAAGGGCCTGGGTCCTAGTATTACAGTTTTTCTCGATTGCTAACACACATTCTTTTTTAAATTGCTCAGTTTCTCAGAACACTAAACACAATTCA